CTGGAGAGGACATCTGTGTCTGGTATCTTATCCTGCCACCGGATCCTCAGAATTCTACGAAGGCAAGTCATGTGGAAGTAGTTCCGTTGCCTAACGTGCCTCCTGTACACTGTCCAGGTCTCACTAGCATATAACAGGGTAGTTAGCACTGCTGCCTGGTAAACTTTAAGCTCGGTAGCAAGACTTATTCCACAGCGGTCCCACACGTGAGTCCGCAATCTCCCAAATGCAGAACTTGCCTTGGCAATTCTACAGTTGACCTGGATGTCAATTGTCACTGCACGGGAGAGGGTACTACCAAGATACATAAATTGGTCCACTGCTTGCAGCTTTGTCCCTTTACTGTGATGGTAGGCTCTTGATATTGGGCTAGGGCTTTAACCCACCCATGTTGTAAATGCTCCTAGGATTCAGAAAGCTCCTCAGCAATTCCGATCCGAGGGTCCGTCATCCGGCATCCTCTCCGCCATCAGTTCCTCTTCTCTGTGCAGGGTGGTGTCTTGGCAAAAACAGGGCAAGGCTTCCCGTGGCCTCCCCCTCCCTTTCCCATTGCCACTGAGTGAGTGCCGCCTCCAGCATCCTTCCCTCTGGCTGCTGCCCAAAGAGGTGCCTGCTGGCTTTAGTTGACCAATGAGATGACCATCACCCCTTGGGTGACCCAGCTGGGATCAGCCGCTTAATTTGACAAGGCTCATTTTGGCTTCCAGTAACCCCCACCGTGCTTTCTCACAACCTGGTTTCAACGCAGTCTGTCCAGAAACAGACTGTCCTTTTTGTAGTTTGCAGGACTCCCACTTTTTTGATGAAAGGGACAACTAGGGGTCCCATCCTCCAGTTCTTTGTCCTTTCAGCAGGACAAAGGGCACTGCAGGCCACCAGCTCCTCCGCCCAGTCCACTCCTGTAGAGGGGTCACCCTCCTCCTTGGCAGGGTCCAGGGGGGGAGCCCCGGGGGGAGAGCCCATCTCAGCCTAGGCTGATGGATGGTTTCAGAAGTCTTTGGGGGAGTCTCCAACCTCAGCCCCCCCCCCGCTTGTCCTTCTTTCTCTTCCTCCCCCCTCCCCCCCCAGTCCATTGTTCAGTTTCGGGGCAGCTGCTCTTGACCGGGGAGCCCAGAAGCATCAGGAGGTGGGAGGTGCAGGTTGGGCCCCTAGGCCTGTTCAGAGAAGAGCTGGGCCTCTGCATCGCAGCCTTCTCAGACCCCTTGTCCCCCCCCCCCAAAAAATCTGGCACTTTTGCTGGCCCTACGAGAAGCTGTTCAGGAAATCTTTTCTGTTTCTTTTCTCAGAGGACAATCCGCCTGCGCTGACAGCTCACATGATGCTTCTGGTCTCCAGGAACAATAATAATAAAATGAACCACTAAAGTAGTAGATAAAATTTATTAGCAGGTAGTAGATGTCAGAACAAAGTTAGTAGATAAAATAGTTGAAAATGAGCAGGTTAAAATACTGTGGGATTTCCAAATACAAACTGATGGTCTTGGCTCATAACACACCAGATTTAATTGTGGTTAAAAAGAAGTGTGGGTAACTGATGTGGGGGATGGTAGAAGACAAATAATCGGAGATCACAGATATCAAGAGATGAAAATCCGAACTGAAAGATGATGGCATAAACCAGCTCAGGTGGTCCCAGTGGCTATCAGCACAATGGGTGCCATACCAAAAGGCCTTGGACTACACAATCTGTGTATTTACAAAATCTCCCTCTGTCAGTTGCAAAATTACATCCTACTTGGATCCGCACAGATACAACATTTTTAGCGCTTGGGAAAACCTCAGCGCACATGGAGGCCAAAACTCAGGAACTGCCAGCTGTGATTTCACAGACGTGCGTATTAGACTAATAATAAGCTTTACTTGGCAGAACTTACATTCTGCAACGATAGTGTTAATATTGCAAAATAATGACAGCTGCTTATCCCAGGTCCCTTTCTAGAAGAGGGAGAACTGGAGAAAATCACAAAATGTGAAGGAGACCTGCAAATAGAACAACTGTGGCCAAAGGCAACCGTAACAACAAACGCAATAGGAGCCTTAGGGGCAAACATCTGGACACCAGAACACCATCAGCATTGGCCAGCTCCCCATCAGTCAATTGCAAAAATGGAAGGGGATGTTTGGGGAACAAGGGGAAAGGATGCTGCCTAGGAAATTATCTGACAAGAGGGGCAGGAGCCCCCAGTCTCTTATCAGCCACGGAAAGGGACAGAGGGAGGACCTGCCCTGATGGACCAAGCAGTTAAAAGTGGCCGGAGGGAAGTTCTGCCCTTCCAGATTTGAGAGACTCTGTTAATGCAGCTTTACAATAAGGAAGATTTAGATAAACTGGTTCCATTTCCTGCCTGGTTTATCAGGGGTCCGCCTCCACTTTGAAGTGCTTGATCGCTTGAGCGAGGGTCTCGGTCTCCCCACCAAAGGCGTGGCTGAAGAGCCAGCTCTTCATCCTTCAGCTGAGCCAGGGGGGCATCCAGGGCTCAGGGGGAGCCTCCTTCCAGAGAGCAGGCCCTGCTCCCGAGAAGCGTGCCCACCCTGCAAGGTCTCTTCAGTCGGGCAGATACCGAGGGAGAGACGTGGTCCTGCCAGTAATTGGGCCCTGTGCCGTGTGGGGCTTTACGGATAACAATCAGCCCCTGTGGCACAGCCCTCGCAGCTCCCACGAGTGCTTCCGTCACCATCTTCGGCTGGCGAGCCACGGGTGAGAGCAAAAGTCCCCCGCCTTCCAGCTCTCATTTGTTGCTGGCTCAGTGGGCCAAGTCCCGGGGGGGGGGCTGCTCTGCCTTGGGTTTTCCCTGAAGCTGCCTCAAGTAGGTCAGCAGCAAGCGGGGGGGGGGGGCTGGTCATTTTCCAAGGCTTCTGAGGAGCTCCAGCCTGGCCCTTGGTGGGAAGGGGAGGCCCCAGGGCTTACAGACCAGCCCAGCAACACTAAGCAGGCCACCGGAGCGGTCTTTCCTGGGGGGGGGGGCTTGCTTTTTTTATTTTCTCAACCACCTCATTCCACAAGGTCCGTAGCTGCCAAGATAGGAAGGTGACCTAGATGGAGGTCCGTTCCCCAGGCGAAAGCATCCTTAAGCCCAGAGCAGGGAGGCAGCATTCGGAAGAGGCCCAGACAGGAGCCTCCCTAATTCACTGCAGCAGGAGGAGGCCTTTCGTTCGGCACAAGCAGATTTGCAAGCTTCTGCCCTTAAAGCTGAAGCCAGCAACGCAGGGGCAGTTTTAGCTTCAGCAAGAGCACCTTCAGCCTTCTGGAGGAGTTTATTTCCTGTCTTGTAGGGCTGAGAGTAGCAGCTCCAATTAAGACCAAATGCTCATCAAACCAAAAGCATAATGCACAATGAATTCACCAAAGCATGCAGAGAGAAGGAAGAAGAAATACGGTCAGGGCCTTGCATGGTGTGGGGAGGAAAGCAATCGCCTGGGCCAGAACTGGACCCCAGGGGCCACCTGAGCAGCTTTTAGATGGAGTCCGGTCTGGCTTCATCCACAGCAGAGGAACTTTGCTCTCCAGGAGCCTCTGGAGAACCTGGTGGCCCCCTCAAAGCTTAGGAGGCAAGTGCTCACCTGCTCTCGGCTTCCCGCTTCTCTTCTCTTGCCCTGTCCGGTTTAGACCAGGTGGCCCCCTTTCCCTGCCGGCTTCTGTCCCAGTCTGATGCCCCCAGGGGGGCCTGTGGAGCCAGGTCTCTCTCCTGCTCACTTCAGCGGCACAAAGCCCAGATCTGGCATGGACTCCCACCCCCCCGCTGCCCCTGTTGATCCTGTAAGGGCCTAAAACAGTGGTTCTCAACCTTTCTAATGCCATGACCCCATAATACAGTTCCCCATGTTGTAGTGACCCCCAAGTGGGTGTGGCCACCAATAAGAGGGAGTAGGACAGCTAGGGAAAAGGGAAAAAAATGGTGGACAGCATGGTTTGGTGACCCCCGTGAAATGGTCATTCGACCCCAAATGGGGTCCCGACTGGCCTAAAAGTATATCCGGGCAAACTCTGCTGGGCGTGGATCCCCTGCCCCAGAATTGGCAACTGGGCAGTGGAGGCAGTGGGCCCCATCCACGGGGGGCAGGGGGGCTGAGTGGCCGGCAAGGGAGGGGGCAGGCATTTGCCCCTCATGATGCAAAGAGGGGAAATCGCCCTGCAGCAGCTCTTGATGATCCCTTTGAGGTGCAGGGGAAGAGTCGTCTGCCAGCAAGGAGGCAGAAAGGGGCGCAGGGCTCCTCCCATCTGCCCTCACCTAGCCCCCCTCATGAAGCCCCCCCCCCACAATGCTCTGCCTGGGGAATCGGCCCAGACAGTCCGTTTCATTGAGGAAGACCTTGCAGCCAAAGACTGGGGGAAGCACTGCTCTGGAGTCTTCCCAGCTTCAGGAAAACCTACCAGCAGCCAGGGGGGTTCCCAGGCTCCATTTGGTAAAGGCCCTCACCCAAGAGATAAGAAGGGACCCCCCCCCTGTTGTATCAGCAGAGAGGTTCTGAGCTTCTGCACTGTCTCCCTCAGATACAAAGCCCCCACCGCCACCTCTGATTCAGTCTGCAGTAGTAAAAACTCAGCATCTTCACAAAGAATAAAGCTAAATCATGGCTATTTCTGCCGGTTTGGGATTATTTTGTGACTGTAGCTATTTATGGACTAATCTATGAAGGATGGATCCCAGAACACTGTCTTGGATGTTTGTGATCTGGAAAGACAAGAAAAGCCACTTCGTGCCCTGCATCAGGACGGGGCCTGGGGATGGGGGGGGGGAGCAGGAGGGAGGAAGGTGCTCAAAAAGGGTGTGTACACAGAAACACACACAAACACACACAGTCCTTTGAGGGTTCAGTTTCATCTACACACTTTGGAGGGTGGCCCAGACCTGCTCTTGGGCGAAGCAGAGAGAGATGCTCAACCCTTCGGGGCAAATTCAAGGCTCCCAAGTGAGGCTTGTAAGGGAACAGCACAAACCCTGCCAGGGTCCGAGTAACCTTCTCTTTCTCCCTCCCTCCCTCCCTCTCTCCCACTCCCAGGTGCGTGGGACGATGGTAAGGGGTCTGTAGGACCATGCCCCACACAATGCAACGTGGCTTTCTCCTCCTGGCCTGCTGCTGCTGCTGCCTCCTGAGTCTGGCCCCGGGGTGGGCCTGCCCAGTGCGCTGCGAGTGCCTCCCTCAGCTCAAGTCCGTCAGCTGCTCTCGGAAACGCCTCACATCTGTCCCGGAGGGAATCCCAACCGAGACCAGGATCCTGGAGTTGAACAAGAACCGCATCCGCTGCTTGAACTCGGGCGAGCTCTCCTCCTTCCCCAGGCTGGAAGAGTTGGACTTCAGCGAGAACATCCTCGCCAGCGTGGAGCCCGGGGCCTTCGGCAACCTCTTCCACCTGCGGGTCTTGCGGCTTCGACGCAACCAGCTCAAGCTGATCCCTCAGGGCGTCTTCCACAAACTGGCCAACCTCACCCTCCTGGACATCAGCGAGAACAAAATCGTCGTCCTTCTGGACTTCATGTTCCAAGATCTGAGGAACCTGAAGCACCTCGAGGTCGGGGACAATGACCTGGTCTACATCTCCCGAAAGGCCTTCTCTGGCCTGCTCAGCCTGCAGGAGCTGACCCTCGAGAAGTGTAACCTGACGGACCTCTCGGCCGAGTCCCTCTCCCGCCTGCAAAACCTGGAGCTCCTCCGGCTCAGGCACCTCAGCATTGCCCTGCTGGAGGATGAGAACTTCCAGAAGCTCAGCCGTCTGCAGCTCCTGGAAGTCGACAACTGGCCGTTGCTGGAGGACATTCCGCCCAATGCCTTCCAGGGCCTGAACCTCACCTCCCTGTTCATCACCTTCACCAACATCACAGCCGTGCCCACCGCGGCCCTGAGGAGCTTGGGGCATCTCGTGTACCTCAACCTCTCCTACAACCCCATCGGCACCGTGCCCAGGGGGTCCTTCCGGGACCTCACCCGGCTGAGGGAGCTCCACATGGTGGGCACTCTGCTGGTCTCCATGGAGCCCCAGGCGCTCTCTGGGCTGAGGCAGATCCGTCTCCTCAACCTCTCCAACAATCTCCTGTCTACTCTGGAGGAGACCACCTTCCACTCCGTCAACACCCTGGAGACACTCCGGGTGGACCAAAACCCACTGGTCTGCGACTGCCGCCTGCTCTGGATACTCCAGCGCCGGAAGACGCTGAACTTCGGTGGGCAGCCACCCATGTGCTCCTCGCCCCTCGAGATCCAGGGCAACGCTCTGCACGACTTCCCGGACTCCGTCCTTTTCGAGTACTTCACCTGCCAGAAGCCCAAAATCCGGAACCGCCACCTGCAGCACGTGGTGGCTCACGAGGGGCAGGCAGTGTCCTTCCAGTGCCAGGCAGAGGGGGAGCCCGTGCCCTCCATCAGCTGGGTCTCCCCTCAGCACCGGATGATCACCTCCAAGAGTTTGGGCCGGGTCACCGTCTCGTCCAGCGGGATGCTGGAGATCCGCTATGCCCAGGCCAGGGACAGCGGGACCTACATTTGCCTCGCCACCAACCCTGCCGGCAATGACACCTACTTTGCCACCCTGACCGTCAAAGGGCCCTCCATCAATGGCATCCTGGATGCCAATCGGACATCGATGCTAGGCGAGTTCAACGACACTTTCCACAACGACACCCGGGTCTTCATCAAGTTCACCTTGGACCTCAAGACCATCCTGGTGTCCACAGCCATGGGCTGCATCACCTTCCTGGGCGTGGTCCTCTTCTGCTTCCTCCTCCTCTTTGTTTGGAGTCGGGGCCGGGGGCAGCACAAGAACAACTTTGCCGGGGAGTACTCCTTCCGCAAGGTGGACGGCCCCACCTCGGCCTCCGGGCAAGGCGGGGCCAGGAAGTTCAACATGAAAATGATCTGAAAGCCCGTTGCCAAAGGGGGCTCCGTGGGGCGAGGCAGCCCACTGGCCGCACATCTGCCACTGCCCCGCCGCAGATCAGATCAGCTGCATCAAGATCCAGGGCTTTGACCCCCTCCTGACCCATGCTCTGAGTGAGCCCTTGTGAGGCCAGACACAGACCCACTGCCACGGCCCTTCCCCATTCCTCTCCCCACTGGGGTCTGGGCGGAGGGGTTGGGCTGCTCTCCTGGCAGCAGCTGGTCCAGACCCTCACTCTGTGGGGCTGCCAGCGCTGGCTTGGTAAGCAAGTGGCCAGTCCCCTCCCTCCCACTGCCTGTGGCAGATGGCCTGGCCAGAGGAGCAGCTTCTGCTGGGTGGGAGGGCCTTTGACCCCCTCAGGACATCAGCTGCACTCCCTCCCCAGTCCACCTCATGGTGCTTCCATCTCCCCTCCCCCAGGTCTCTTGGCCAGGTGGGAACACAAGCTAGGGGTGGGTGGGTAATCCCCCCCAGCCGAGTCAGTGTTTTCTATCTCAACTATGCATTTTTCAACCACTGAGAACATTCCGTTCAGGTACGGAGGCCCCTCTTTTTTTAGCAACAATTTTGAAAAAACCCTGGTTTAGTCGATGGGTTCATTTTTAAACTGTTTTATATGCACGTTCACTGTCTTCCTAGTAGGTGGCAGGGCTGCAAAGGGGGGGGGGGCAGCTCCGCCTCCCTCGGCCCATCCAAGCAGAGCTGAGCACCGGCAGCCTCCGCCAGCCTTGAAGCCTTTCCAGGCGCAGGTCAGCAGGGGGTCCCCGGGGCTGGCCGGGAGCCCCTCCCCTCCCAGGTGGCAAAGGACAAAACCTGGCTGCGACCGAGACAGGTGCTTCCACGGCGTCCTGAAGGGGGCGCTGCTGAGCCACGACCGGCCATCCCCCGCCTGCTTGCATGGCCGGGGCGGGGAGGCTGAGCGCGCCAGGCTGGATGGGGCTTCCGTAACGCCCCCCACCCTTGGTGACCTAGCGCCTCGTCTCTCCCCCCGGCAGCTAAGGGCAGTTTTCACACATTGCAATGAGCCATAAGGTCTTCGGTCTCGGCTGAGCAAGCGGCCTGAACCACGCCAATGAAGGCTTCATCAACAAGCCATAGTTAAACCAGGAATTGCTGGGCATGCCGCTGAGACCACTTTGCATGCACGTGTGCGCCTGTGCATATTTGTGTGTGTCCCTGGGTCCCCAGCCGTCCTTCCGGATTCTCCCGCCCTCCTCGTGGCCGCCAAACATCTTTTCCGCAGCGGAGCAGCCGCACCAGCAGGGCTGTGAGAAACGGCCGCTGGCGCCTGCGCCTCCTTTGGCCGTCGGCCCCCCGTGGGCGGCTCAAGGCTGGGGGCAGCCGTCCTCTGCTGAGCTTCTACCCTCGGCCGGGCCGAGAGGGCTTCCGGCGGGGGGGGGGGGGGCTCAGCCCTCTGCGCAGCAGGGCGGCGAGCCACCCCGCCTGGAAGAAGGCGCAGAGGGAGAGACCCTCTTTTATCACTTCCCTCCATGGGGGGGGGGAAGAACAGACTTGCAGCCAGGCAGAGAAGTGGGGGCCGATTGAGGAGGGGGCCGGCACGCCTTTTTTCAGCTGGCTCTTCTGACCGAAGCGAGCCGCCAAGGCCCCCCGCCCCAGGCCCCGTTGGGGAAGAGCTTTCAGACTGCAGGCCTCCACCTTTTCCCGCTTTCTCCTCCATTCCCACCGCCCTCTCCCCACGCACAGCTGGCTCCATCGTGGGAAGCAGCCCCCCCCAACAGCAGCCGAGTCTCTTTCGGGACACGGGCCGACCCGCAGCCAGCGATCTGCGCTTTCTCTAGTGCGAAGCCAGCCCGACAGAGCGCGGGACCTCCTGAGTGATTTTGGCCCCAGCCTACCTTGCAGGGCTGTTGTGCAAAACGAGCCAGTATAGACCCAAAGGAACACAAGTCTCCGCTGGCATCACCACTGGCAAGATCCCCTCCCCCTCCCTAGACCAGCAATCCCAGGGAGGCCCCGGCCAAGGGGGGGTCCTCTAGGCTCTCGGTCGCCACGGATTCCTGCCCCCCCTTCTGGCTCTGAGTCTGCTCTGCCAGCCCCCCCCCGCCATAAAAATCACCTCCCGAGCGGGGGGAAGGGCACAGCTGGGAGAAGGGGGGGGTCCTGCGTGGGGGAGCTGCTCTCGCGGTTTCCTTCCTTCCGAAGCGCGCCAAGAAGGAGAGCCCGTCGCAGTCGCCCCAGCGCGCCTCGCTCTCGCGTCCTGCTGAGTTAATAAAGAAGCCCTTCCACACGAGCCTCCTCCTCTTTTTACTCTTTCTTGCGTTCCGTTCCCACGCGCACGGACAACACCCAAAGGTTCCACGGGGAGCCCGTAGGAACGCGGAGTTGACACGTGTGGCGGTGGATCCCTAGTTCCGAGGAAGGCACGCCGCCCTCCCCACCAGCCAAAGCCGCCCTCCTGCCAGAGCAAAGGGGAACCGGGATTCCCCGCCCCCCCCCCGGCCAGCTGCTCCAGAGGCCATCCAGCCTGACCCGCTCCGAGGGGCGGCGGAGGGGAAGCCCCGTCGGGTCCGGCGGAGGCAGCCGGCTTCGAGGGTCCAAGATGGCGGCCGCGCGCCGCACTACATCTCCCAGCAGGCTTCGGCCGCACCCTCTCCTCCGATTGGACGCGCCCCGTTTCCCGAGATGCGCCGCGAGGGGCGTCGCCTCCGGCCGGCCGTTGGCGCGCGCCGCCATTTTGGGCGATTGAATGACCCGCGCCCTCCGCTCGCGCCATGTCCGCCTCTGCCGCCCCCGCCACGCCGCCCGCCGCGGGCGCCCCGTCCCCCGCGGCGACGCCCCTCTCGCCCGCGCGGCTGTCGCGGCTGCAGGAGAAGGAGGAGCTGCGGCGGCTGAACGACCGGCTGGCCCTCTACATCGAGCGGGTGCGCGCCCTGGAGCTGGAGAACGACCGGCTGCTGCTCCGCGTCTCCGAGAAGGAGGAGGTGGTCACGCGCGAGGTGAGGGGGGCATCGGCGGCACAGCGGCTCTTCCTCCTCCTCGCTCTCCCCCCCTTTCCCGCCTCCCTCTCACTTTCTTTCTCCTCCCGCCCCTCCCCTCCTCTCCCCCCCCGGGCAGGTGACCGGCCTGAAGGCGCTCTACGAGGCCGAGCTGGGCGACACCCGGCGGGCGCTGGACGAGACGGCGCGGGAGCGGGCCAGGCTGCAGATCGAGGCCGGGAAGCTGCGCGCCGAGTTCGAGGAGCTGCGGCGGAGGTGTGCCCGGGAGGGGGGAGGAGGAAGGAGCAGCCCCCTCCCGCCGCAGAGACGGGGGGGGGAAGGGCGGTCGGCTCCCTCGGGGAAAGGCCCGGCGGAGGTTCCCAGCCCGCCCCCCCCACGGGCGCCCCGGAGCTCGGCTCCTCTCTGGGAGGGAGGGGAGAGATGGGAGAGGGGCGGCGGCTTTTGGCCCTCCATCCCCGTCCGGTGCTGGGAGGAAGCGGGGCAGCCGCCCGCCTCTGCCTGGCACTCCCCGGGCGGATTCTGTGAGGGGGAGGCGGGTTCTGTCTCCTTTCCTGGGTCTTGGCGTTTTGCCTTTCCCCCTTTTGACCCCCTTCTTCTCCCTGGGTGTCTCTCTCTTTCTCTTTCTCTCTCTCTCTCTCCCTCTCACACACACCCTCTGGCACTCCCCCCCAAGTCCAGTGTTACCCTGGATCCCCCCACTTGATCCGGGTGGAGCTGTGGGAGCATGTTGTGGGAGAGGCTGCTTCTTTGCTGTGCCAGCCCTGGGCCTGTTGGGGAGATCTTTCAGCCTCTCTCCCTTCTTGCCCCTTTGCAAAAGCCCCTGGGAGCCCTCCAGCTGCCGCAGCAGCTGCAGGGAGGGTGGCTGGCAGTTCCTTCTTTGGGCACCGCATCCCCCATGGCTCACTCCTTTGGCCTGGGGGCCCATGGAAGGGCGGCAGCTGAGTTGGAGCGTGGCTCTCTGCCAGCCTTCCCTGCGCCTTTATGCCTCCCACCTGCTAGCGGAGGTGGCACTTGAGCCTGGGCAGCCCACATCCCAGCCCCTGCAGACACCCGAAAGGAGCCAGGAGTGTTTCCCAATTAAACACCCGAGGGAAACGCCTGTTTATCCTCTGCTCAAACTCATCCCTGCAAGGCTTCTCTCCCGTGGGCCTCCCGACGCTGGCTCTGCCCTCCGCCCAGGGACCAGGCTGGCCTGAGCTCAGAGCACCCAGGGGTTGCCCCGTCCTGGCTGCTTGGAAGCGTTGTGGAAGGGGACCTCTGGGGGGGGCAAGGGGGGTGGCCGGGGCTCTCTTCTGCCTCCTCCCTGAGCTGAGCCATCCTGCTTCTTTCCCTAGCTACAAAAAGAAGGACGGGGAGTGGTCCACGTCCCAAGGTCGCATCAGAGAGCTGGAGGTGCTCTTCCATCGGAGCGAAGCAGAGCTCACGGCCACTCTGAGCGAGAAGCAGAGCTTGGAGGCTGAGGTGGCTGACGCCCGGGCCCAGCTGGCAAAGGTACAGGCATGGCAGTCCGCAGGGCAGCTGCCAAGTGAGAAGGTGGCAGGGGATTGGGGGGTGGTCCTTCTAACGGTCCAGAGAGGAGCCAGAGAGGTCCCTGCGGGTGGCTCTTTTCCTCCGAGGAGCCTCAGAAATCGCACACTGCCACACACGTGCCCAGTGTGGCCGGGCAACAGCGAGAGAGTTTGGTGAATCGGTTGTTTCTGTGAATGAGGTGATGGTTGGGTGTCACATCATCGGAGTCTTCGTGAGGGGCTTCTGCAAGTGACTCTCCCTCATGGAAAGTTACCTCTGTGCTGTGGCTGGCTCTAATGGCCGCCCAGAGGCTGCTGCTGGAGCAGGGGGAAAGACACATCGGGAGCTCTGGGCTCCGCTTGGGGAGGGGGCCCACCTGGGGGCAAGGAAGGCCTCTCCAGGGTTGGAGGGGCTCCCTGTTGGGGGGGGCAGGGGGGCGGTCTCTCCTGCCTGCCCAAGTGAGCTCACCCTGCCTGGCAAAGGAGCAGCTCTTTCCCACCCCCCACCCGACCCCCCCCACCCCCGTGAGGATCCGAAAGCTCCAGCTGCAGCCTGCTGAGCACTCTTGTCCGGCTTCTCCCCAGTCGGAGGACGCCCACGCCGTGGCCAAGAAGCAGCTGGAGAAGGAGACCCTCCTGCGGGTGGACCTGGAGAACCGCTGCCAGAGCCTGCAAGAGGAGCTGGACTTCAGGAAGAGCATCTTCGAAGAGGTGGGCCGGTTCCGCTGGGCCAGGGCTCCAGCGCCCAGGGAGGGGGCTGCTCCTTGTAGGCCCCCCCTCTCCCCCAAGAGGAGAACCCTGGTGTGCTGACCCAGCCCCTCCCTCCCAGGAAGTGAGAGAGACCCAGAAGTGGCATGAGCGCCACCTGGTGGAGGTGGACAGCAGCTGCCACAAGGAGTACAAGTCCAAAATTGCCCAAGCCCTGGAAGACCTGCGCAGGCAGCACGACCACCAGGTGCAGCTCTACAAGCTGGAATTGGAGCAGACCTACCAGGCCAAGGTGAGGCCCTTCTCGGGGAGGGGGAGGAGGAGGCAGGCAGTAGTCCAGCCTCGTCCTGGCGGAGGTGGGGGGCTGACTTTAAGCTCCCTCCTGGCCTCTCGCCAAGAAGCCCACGCACGCAGCAGGCAACGGGTCCTGTGCCCTTTTCTCAGCTGGAGAACGCCAAGCTCTGCTCGGACCAGAACGAACGGGCAGCCAGCGCCGCTAGGGAGGAGCTGAACGAGGCCCGCCTGCGGATCGAGGCTCTCAGCTACCAGCTGTCTGGACTGCAGAAGCAGGTGAGGCACGCGGGGCCTGTCTCTCTCCCCTCCCCCCTTGCCAGTTCCAGGCTCGGGCTTGCTTGGAGGAGTTGCCTCGGGTGGGGCCGGCCCGCCTGCCGCAGTCCCGCCAGTCCAGGGGGACACCCTCCAGGACAGCCTCGCCTCTGGTGACTGGCCCTGGGGCCTCTGGAAAGGAACCAGCTCCAGAGACAGGCCCCTGCCTTCAGAGCCTCCTGGGGAAGGAGACTGGGGGGCCCTAACGGCCCCTCCTCCATTCCTCAGGTGAGTACAGCAGAAGAGCGGATGCGGGACCTGGAGGAGCTGATGGCTGGAGAGCAGGAGAAGTTGCGGAAGATGCTGGATACCAAAGAGCGGGAGATGGCGGACCTGCGGGAGCAGATGCAGCAGCAGCTGATGGAGTACCAGGAGCTGCTGGATGTCAAGCTGGCTCTGGACATGGAGATCAGCGCTTACCGGAAGCTTCTGGAAGGGGAAGAGGAGAGGTAGGCGCTCCCAGGCCCCCCTCCTGGCTGGACGGGCCCAGGGAAGGCGGCTGGCAGCAGCCTCTTGGGTGGGTGGGGAGAAGGGCTGGGGGTCCCAGGCGTGGCTCTGCCCACCAGGAGGAGGAGGACGTGGCTCCCACTTGCTTCCCCGCCAGGCTCAAGCTGTCCCCCAGCCCTCCGTCCCGCATCACCGTCTCCCGGGCCACCTCCTCCAGCGCCGTGGGCGCTCGCTCCTTGCGGGGGAAGCGGAAGCGGGCGGAGGTCGAGGAGCTGTTGGGACGCACGCCCAGTGGGGTTGCAAGCAGGAGGGGCAGCGGCGGCAGCGGCCTCCGGGTCAGCCAGCAGGCCTCGGCCAAGGGCAGCGTCAGCATCGAGGAGGTGGACCCCGAAGGGAAGTTTGTTCAGCTGAAGAACCATTCTGACAAGGTAGGCTCCCCTGAGCCCGGAGAAGCTCCCACAGGGCTGCCTTGTGCACGCCCCCCCGCCTCCCCCCCGTGGCTCTGCTGCTTGGGCAAGGGCTAACCCCTCCCCCACCTCCCTCCGCAGGACCAGTCGCTCGGAAACTGGAGGCTGAAGAGGAAGGTTGGGGAGGGAGAGGAGATTGCGTACAAGTTTACTCCAAAGTACATCCTCCGGGCCGGGCAGACGGTGACGGTAAGTGCTGGAGGGCCCTGCCCTACGCTCAGGTCAGCCCTTAGGGTTTCTTCGGGGCCCTTTCTAGCCCCTCCACTCGATGGGAGCTGCAGTTCTGCTCCGAAACACCCCCCCCCCCCGACACACACACTGTCCGATGCCAGGCTGTGGGGGGCTCCGGCTGGCCAGGATGGGAGAGCTGGGCAAGGGCCAACATGTCTGTCTTCCTAGATCTGGGCCACGGAGGCTGGGGTGGCACACAGCCCCCCCTCAGTGCTGGTCTGGAAGAACCAGGGCAGCTGGGGCACCGGGGACCACATCCAAACGTGCCTGGTGAATGCCGAGGGAGAGGTACGTGGGGGGAGGGGCACGGAGAGGGTGGAGGGAGGGGGGCAGCAAAGGGAAGGAGACGCGCAAGAGAAACGGCCAGTAAATAACATGAAAAGCGTCCCCACGACGCTCCCGGCATAGAGGGAGCCGGTCTGATCTGAACTGGGAGGCGCCCTCCCCACACCAGGTGCTGGCAGAAGTAGTAACCCAACCCCCCCAGCCCTCCCAAATTCCATGCCCAGAGTTGCCCCCAGCGGTGCCAGAGGGTTATCCAGGAGAAGTGGGGATTCTGGGTTGTCGGAAGCCGTCCTTTCATTCTTGTCACCCACGGTTGCACTCCGGCCTTCCGCCTCTGGTGTTTAGCGAGCCTCTCTGCTGAAGGGGGCCGTGCTGGACTGCCCGGGTTGCTTCTGCTGGCAGAAAGAAATAGCCTGCTGGGGGGGGGGGGCTGGCCGAAAATATTGCTGCTTCCTGCTCAGCATCCCTGAACCCATGTTGGGGGGGCACTCGCCCTACGTGCATTGCACCCCGGTCTCTGGTGTCCCCCTCCTGAGGCTGCTCCCCTTCCTCTCCCTGCTAGGAAGTGGCTGTGCGCAGTCTGACCCAGAGGACGACGGCCGGGCTGCAGGAGAACGGGGAGGAGGAGGAGGAGGAGGAGGAGGCAGCTGAGTTTGGGGAGGAAGATCTCTTCCACCAGCAGGTAGACTCCGAAAGCGGCCCCCTCCCTCTTTCCTCTCGGCTGAGGGGAGCAGCTCACCCGCTGGCAGCCGGAAGAGCGAGGCCGAGCCACTCCTGGGTGGGAGGTGCCCCCCCGGCCCCCCTTCTGGTCCATGGGGGGGGCTGCCCTCGCCAGGAGGGACCCCAGGGAGCCTTTGGCGAGAGGACCTCAGAACCACACATAGCCCCCCCTTTTGGGTGGGGGAGCCCTGGCGCTCTTCTGCCCCCAGAGCAGGGCGGAGGGACCCCGGGGGACCCCCCTCTTCAGGCTGCCTTTCCTTTTCTCCTAGGGGGACCCCAGGACCACCTCCAGGGGATGCGCCCTCATGTGAGAGGAAGGAAACCACCATCTTTTACCTGCCCCGTCCCCCTTTTTTTTCTTCCACCTGCGTTTATGGGAAATTATTTTTCTAAGTCTTCTATGGTTTATTTTTACTTTGAGCCGAACTGAGTTTTAAAAAGCAGGAAGCGGATTGGTCCGAACTGGGCCAGTTGCTTCTTGTGCCCCTGCGGCCGCTTTTTTAGCCCCCAGCCGCGGTAGGGGCAGGGGGGGGAGCGCCTCACCCTGAGCCTCCTCTTGGATGGGCAGCCAAGGACCGACCGGTTGGGCTCTGAAGCCCCCCCCGAGCCCCTGGTGGAGACGGGACACGCCCGGCCTGCGCTCTCTGCCATTCGGGATAGGGAGGAGGCCCAGCATAAAAACCGCTGACCTGCCAGCTGCTGGCCTCGCCCGCCTGGCCTGCCTCAGGTGCCGTTTACTGGGAGGTCATAGAAAAAATACCTTTGAAATTGGGTCTTGCCCACCTTTTATGTGGGGCAGTGGGCTCTAAATTAGTGCTCTGAGTGCCCGACGCCATTTCAGTCTGGATGCCTCACCCTTCAGGCGAACAAGCCCCTAATGTTAGCTCTCATGGCCCAAACACGGAACCCTAAAAATTATGTGATCTTTGTGTTCAGCTCTGATCTCCCTCTTCAGACACTAGGCTTCAAACACACTGCCTCGGTTCTTCATTTTATTTATTTTTAAAAAAATCAACAAAATTTTAATGGAAAAAAAAACAAGTCTTGAGAATTTCAGCCAGCTGCATTTCCAAGGGCCGGTTGCTAGTCCATCACCTTAGACAGCCGCATCGAAGGACTGGCTGCCCGCTGTTACCCCGGCACCTGTCCTGGGGACCGGACTGACCCTCTCTTTGAGCCGCCGGGCACCCCGCTCGCTCTGAAATCGAAAAAAGCTCGGAAGGGCCTTTGGGACGATCCCCCAAATTCATAGAGTGCCAGGGGGCTTCTGACCTGAATTCCCCCCCCCCACTACTTCAGCGATGTCTTTGGTGCTTTAGCTCCAGCGTGAGGACATTTTGGCAGCGGTAAGAAGTGATATCAAAGAAGATATTTTAAAAAGGAGAAGACCGGGGGGGGGGGGCCTAGCTGAAGCAGGAATTGAATAGGAAATCAACCACAGCACAAGAGTAGCGGTTTAAGCAGCAAGCCCTCCTGGATGCTTCAGTGCTCCAGGAGGTGCTAATAACCAATGTGAATTAATGTAAAAGTCTTTTAGAAGTAGAAGGTCTGGTCTGCTTTCTGTGGAGCCCCCAGTGTTGCAGCTGAAAAGGGGAATTCAGGTGGGATCAGGTTGCATAAATTCTTGTCTATCCCCTCCCCCCAAATAATCCTTCCCTTCCGTTGGCAGGAGGGGCCACAGCCACGCTTCCTGTGTGGCTGAGAATTAGGGGGAGGGAGGGGTCTGCTTGAGTCCATCCTTGTGCACCCTCTGGCCTCCCAGCCCATCAGCTGCCACCCAGACCCCCCCCTCACCTGCCAGACCCTTAATTGGGGCCAGCCTCCCAACATAAGAGAAGCTGAGCAGGTTCCCCATTGATCTGTCCATAGGAAGCAGGGGGAGGGAATACTTTCAAGGCACCCCCTCCGATAGTCCTGCCTGCCTTTCTTCAGCCACACAGGTCTGTACACACACCCCTTCCCCACAGTTTATGGACGCTAATAATGGACACATCAGGGTGTAGATTCTTGGGGGGGCAGGTATACTTGGACTGCCTTGATTGTCCCAAAGGTGTTTTTTCAAGAGGCAACTGGAGTTCCTTTGTTTTTCTCTTAGGAAAAGACATTTCACTTCTCGTCCAAGAAGCTTCTTCAGCTCTGACTGGATGGTAGGGAATGGGAGGATTTCTGTTCCTTGAAGACAATCCACCCATTCCCCACCATCCAGTCAGAGCTGAAGAAGCTTCTTAGACGAGAAGTGAAATGTCTTCAGAGAGAAAAACAAAGAAACTCCAGTTGCCTCTTGAGAAAACACCTTTGGGGGACAGCTGGGTCCTGGGGGACTGAGACCCTCCAGGGATGTTTGGCTGCCTTGATCTCTCCCCTCCCCGGAAGGCCCTTCCCCTTCAGTGGGGGGGGGCAGTCAGGGTTAACTGGGAGATCCATTCAGCACCTGATCAGCATTTGGTTGTGACTTGGTTTGGTTGGTTTGCTCTGGAAGTATGCCTTCCTTTGTACTTTAAACAAAATGTGACTTTAAATGTATTTTAAGCCCATGTTTACACTTAATTATTGATATGTCTTAATAACCCTTTGAAATACTAAAGTTTTGTGAATCATTGTGAAAAAAATTGCAGGACACTGGATATGGGGGGGGGGGTTCTTTGGATCCCCTCCCCAAATTTCACTGCTGACAGCAGCAGCTTTCCTCAGTAAATCCCCTGGCTGGCAGGCACCCCCTGGACTGGACTGGACTGGACAGGGAAAGGCCCAGCTCCTGTCCAGCCCTTCTCCAGCTATTACCCTGACCCCCCCCATCACCTTCCCTGCAGGGGGAGCGTTGGGGGCGCTGGGTCAGGCCTGCAAGATTACGTTTTGCAAGCAATACACTTTCTGACACCCCTTGTGGAGAGGTGAGCATTGACTTGATACAAAGCCCATTTCCTTATTATTAGAAGTCTATTTTTGTAGCAGTGCTTTTTTGTTTGTTTTGTTTTCTGGAGAGTTTTGTTTTCCAAAATGGGAACAGCTGAAAGGACTCGCTGGTGGGGGGCACCTAATGTTGGCCAGTGCATCGTATCTTCAGGAGGAAACTGACCTGGATGCTCTTGTGTTGTTTTTGTGTTCTTATAGATATGCATGCTCAGTGTCTTTTTCAGCAATTTGTAATACATTTTTTGGACTGGAAGCATTTTGTACAACACTCAAATAAATGTTTTGCATTTTTATCTGGACTCTTGTGGCAAATGGTGAACAGCAGTTCAGAGTGCCTGTCAGTCCATGGGATGCTGGAAGCTCCCCCCTCCCGCCTGTTGGCTCTGGGGCAGGGGGATGGGGGGTGTAAAATCCTCTGAGCTGGGGGGGGGGAGAAGAATCTGCTTTTCTCCTGGGCTGCTTTCAAGCCTTTGGGCAGCCATTTGTGTTGTCCAGCCCAGCTACGGGTGTGTTTCTGTGTGTGTGTTGCCTTTTACCTCCCCCACCCCAAAGTCCATATAGGAAGCCCAAGGGCTGGGCAGGGTAAGGAGGGCTGCAGATGGGACTGAGGCAAATTCTGGCTTGGAAGACGACCGGTGTTCCCTGCCTGTGCATCCTCCCCCCCCCCCGCGCGCATGCTAGGGGGAAGTGCTGATAGCAGCCCCCCACCCCACCCTCAGTGAGCAGCCAAAGGCGGCTGCTGTAGAGCCCCAGCAAAAAATCACTCCGAGTGGATGGCATCTCAGGGCAAGTTGAGCCGGTGCAGCTGCCCCTCCCCCGGTCCTTTCCGGGGGGGGGGGTTAAGCTCTGGAGAGTTAGGGTGGCGTCTATTCTCCACCGATCCCGCAGAAGCAGCCCCAGAAAAAGGACTGGCAAAGCGCCGCTTCCCACTCGGCGGGGCAGCTCCCCGCCTCCCCCGACTTCAAGGCTGAGGAAGGACGGGGTGCAGAGATGATCGGGGGACCGGAGGCTAAGACGGTCGCAGGAAGCGAGTCTTGGCTAGAGGGAGAAGGGGTGCTGGGCCCATGGCGCCTTCTCGTGTTCCAGGGGCTGCCCCGAAGAAGACGGAGGAGCGGGGGGGGGGGCTCTGACCTCCAAAGCACCTGAAGGCAGAACAAGAAGATGGAAACTAACCGGGGAGAGAAGCAGCCTTAAACTAAGGAAACTTCCTGACAGAACAGCTATCCTCCGGAAATTGTGGGTGTTCCATAACTGAAGGCTTTTAAGAAAAGGCTGGACGGCCCTTTGTCCGGAAGGACCAGAAGGCCTCCAGGGTCCCATCCAGCTGTTGTTTAGTCTGAAGCCAGCTGCCTGCCTCTGCCCTGGGCGGCGCTCCGTTATCCAACTGGCCCGCCTAAGCCCCGCTTGCACCGAAACCGGGCGCGAAGGCAGCTCTCCTTCCCCTGGGATGGTGCCGCTCCACCCCCCTCCCAGAGAGCCACGGTCTGCGTCAGGAAGAGGCCGGCGGGGATCGAGCAGGAGCCCCCCACCCCCGCACCTCACTGAGCCGAAAGTAGCTTTGGGCTGCAACCCGGTTCGCCCCCTTGCAAGCCTGGGCTGAGCGAGAGGGAGGGGGGGGGTTCTTGGGACGGCAGGACGGACGTCGGAGATAAAAGTCCTCCTCCAAATCTAGCCTCCCCCGCCACCCCGACAGTCACAAAGGGAGCGGGAGACCGAGGGCCGCTCCCTCCCCCGCGGACCCCAGATGCGTCGGGCGGGTCTTTCCAACTGGCCAGAGGCCTGGGTGGCGGCGGCACCTCCCTTCTGCCCTGCCTCCCCCTCCAGCCCCGTATAAGAGCTCCGGCCGGGGAGCCTGGCTAGCCAGACGCTCGGGGAGCAGCGGGGGGGAGGACGGGGCGGGGCGGCCGGCCGCGGGCTGCGGGGCCGAGGGCGGGATGGGTCTGACTGCCGCCGCTGGGGCCGCCGCCGCCCAGATGAGAGCCGAGGGGGACACCTTGAAATACTTCGTGGAGGATCCCGGCACCGGGACGCTTTACAAGCGGGGGCAGCTTTTGGGACAGGTAAGCCGCCTTCGCCTTGAAGGCTGCGCCGGGCGGTCGCGGCTCTTCCGAGGGTTGCGCCGGATTCCCGGCAAGGTGACCGGAGCGGCGGCCGCGAAGCGCACCGCGTGCTTTCAGCGTTTTGCCCCGCGACGGCGGCGGGGCGGGCGGGGCACCGCCGGTCTCCTCTTTCAAGTCGCGAGGCGACGTGTGAGCCAAGGTCACAGGCGGGAGCCCGGAGACAGACTGGAGCCGCTCGGCTCCTCCGCTCGACCCGCCTTTCCTGCGCGCCCCGGGAGCCCGGAGCGCCACGTCCTGCTTCCTATCGCCGCCGCCGCAGGTCCGGGGGGGGGGCTGCTCTCCTCTCTCAGCCCGTTTTGAAAGAGCGCCTTTCCCCCTCCCCCGAAAACCTGCCCTACCATCGGCTGCTCTTCTGCAGAACCAGAAGACGGTAAACCTTGGGCGGGATGTAAGGTCGAGTCCCGCCTTCAAAGTGTGCCCGTCTCCTCCGGGGCTTCCCCAGCGGCAGAGGGGCTGCCGTCCTTCGGGCAGGGGCTGGCACAGGCTGGCCATTCTTTCCTCGCCTTCCCAGGGAGGGGCGAGGCCGACCCAAAGAGACGCTTTTCAACCCAGTGGTGGGATAAAAGGTGGGGGTGGGTGGGTGGCTGGCTGGAGCAAAGGTCTTCTTTCCAGACTCAGAACAAGCCAAGTGTTCTGGGAAGGAGGTTGCGTCTGACTGACACCCCCACACACACCTCCCCCCCCCGTCTTCCCCCCCCACCAGGGAGCATTCGGACAATGCTACAAATTTACCGACACATCCACTAACAGAGTCTACGCGGTGAAGGTGCTCTCTCAACAGCGAGTGGCAAGGCTGGGCAACCAAGGAAAGGTAAGTGGGATTTGCGGGGGGGGGGGGGGGCTTGTGTTCTTCTGCCAGATTCCTCTCCCGGGCGATCAGCTCCCACAAAGGGAGCGCCAGTCCTGCCTTATTTGAGTCAACTGCTAGGAGGGAGGGGCGGCATGAAAATTGAATAGAATAAATGAGCCAACCAACGAACGGCTGCAAGTTCCCTGGGCTGTCCTGTCTCTGGACTGGGGACCAGCCGAATTAGGGTGCCCAGCCAGGAGCTGAATCCTTCCGACCAAGAGGTCAGGCACTGGCTGCCCACCTGGACTGTCTTCTGCAGGCCAGCCCTGTCTACACAACTCCCTTCCCCTCTTCAGCTTCCTTCAGTTCCGCCAAAGAGTTTCTGTCTTTTCCAGCCGATTCCTTTGCCCTCCAGGGATGATGTGATCTTCTGTTGACTGACCACTTTCTTGAAGATCACGGGAAGTAAAACGTTGCAGATCAGAAGTGGGAGGCAGCCCCACATGCCTTCCCAGGTGGAGAAGCCTCTGGGATGAAGGGATGGGGACGGGACAGGGTCCCGCAGAGAGCCAAGTCCTGAAGAGGCAGAGAAGGGCTCTCATTAGAGCCAGCTTCCTTTTAGGAAGGGGGGGGGTGAGGGAGGTGAAGATGTCTGCTGAATTGAGAGGGAGCATCTGGGCTCAGTGGGTCTCTGCTTCCCCTCCCTCGCCCCGCAGCTTTCTTCCTTCCCTCAGGTGTGACCTTGGTCGGCTTCTTTGACTCTCCTCCCCAGGTGTGCAGGGGTTTCAGCTGATTCTAGCACTTCTGCTCTCTCTTGCATGCGCACCTGTGCCTGAAGCGTCTTATCCTTGTGACTCGGCTTAACTCTTTGCAGGTTCAACGTGAGATCGAGCTGCACAGCCAGCTTCAGCACAGGAATGTGGTGGGCTTCCACCGACATTTCACTGACCAGGAGAACATCTACATGGTGCTGGAATACTGCAGTAGGAAGGTTAGGGGGGTGGACCATTCTCTCTCTCTCTCTCTCTCTCTCTCTCTCTCTCTCTGGGGAATATTTAATGGGGAAGCTAATCAGAGATGAGGAGCAGACTGACAACCTGGGCAGTTTCTACAGGGTTTGCCTGTTTTCTACCCTTGCAAGAAGCCTGGAGAGTCAGGATAGGGAAGCACTTGGGGAGCTTGGAAGCAGAGCACGGCCTGAGGTTAGGGGAAAAGCTGCTGGCCAAGGAAGCTTAGAACAGAACAGAACAGAATGCTCCAAGGCAGCACCTTGGAGGTCTTCTAGTCCAGCCCCCTGCTCAAGCAGGAGAATCTATATCAGTGGTGGGGAACCTATGGCATGCATGCCACTCGGAGCCCTCTCTGTGGGCACGCATGCTGTCACTCCAGCCCCGCCTTCCCCCACAGCCCCCACCTCCCCAACAGCCCCCCTGGAGGAAAGTCACGCCCGGGCATGGCCTGCGCAGAGCAGCGCAGCCAAGGACATGGCAGCCGGGCAGTCTGCGACCCGTCTTGTGCAGTTGATGCTGTGGGGTGCAGGCAGAGGGTGTGGCTGCCATGGCGCTGCCATTGGGTCACCTGGGCGATCTGCAGCTGGCCGTAGAGGTGGTGAGTGGTCCTGCGGGTGGGCAGGGGCAGAGTGGGGGTAAGGCACGTGGGGACGGAGTGGGTGGGAGCAGGGGCAGGGCGGGGAGGTGGGGCTGGTTTTTGGTCACTCAGTCTCTAAAAGGTTCGCCATCACTGACGTATACCATCTCAGACAAGTGACTGTCCAGCTCCTTCAGAACTGTGGGATGTAATCCATCTGTCCTGGTGGTTTATATTCATCAAGGTCAGATAGGTATTCTCTTCCCATTTTCTTGCTTATTTTAATTTTCGTTTTAAGTTTGTCTTTTGCAGTGTCTTTTTTGGTACGTTGGGCTATAGTATCTTTTGGTGTGAAGCCTGACACAAAGTCTGAGTTAGGTTTGATGTAGTCAGAAGCCTTACTAGGATAGGGTTGGCCAAAGGCCTGTGAAAGGCAGCCCCAGGCACAGGCATGCTGTTCTTTCTTTCTTGTGTGAGACCCCTTTTCTTCCTCTTCCTCCTCCCCTTCCTCCTCCTCCTCCTCCCCCTCCCCCTCCTCCTCAACCCATCTCTTCCTCCTAGTCCCTGGCCCACATTCTGAAGGTCCGGAGAGCCCTGACGGAGCCAGAGGTGAGATTCTATCTGAAGCAAATCATGAGTGGCCTGCAATACCTGCATCAGCAAGGGATCATCCACCGTGACCTCAAACTGAGTAGGTGGCAAAGACCCTGGGGGGAGGGGGAGGGGGCAAGAGGAGCCCCAGTGCTGGGCAGTGACCCACAGTCTGCCCCAGGCTCCAAGAGGCCTGTTCCTGGAAAATCACCATTCCTGGTGCAGCTTGAAGTCCATGTTCCTTTACTTACCAATCGCATTTGTATGCCATCCGCCCAGCACGGAGACAACAACCAAAACCATTAAAAAGGTGGGGGGAAATGACAGGCAAGGACACAGCAGATAGAATAAAAAGGAAACCGACCAAGAACCTGGTTGATTTCTCCAGGCTTGCCAGAGCCTGGAGACCAGCTTGCTTTCCTGGGTGCCGGCCCAAGAGGCTGGTCCACCCATCACCCAGGGAGGGGCCACTCTGCTTGCTCCCCAGAGCCCTCCCTCTGGGGTGGCAGGAGGGGGCGCGAAGATCAGGCCATGGGGGGGGGGCGAGAGCCTTCAAGGGGGAGGGGACCCTTTTCAGGAGCTCCACCCTGCCTGGCGGATGAGGCTGCTGGGGGCCAGGGAAGCTCTAGGGCAGGCAGGACGGTCTGCGGAGGCACAGTCGGGACACACCCTCCCTTCCCAGGCAACGTGTTCATCACCAAGCGCATGCAGGTGAAGATTGGCGACCTGGGCCTGGCAAGACGGGAGGAGCGGGCGTGCCGGAGGAGAGGGTGAGTGCTCGATTGTGGGGGGGGGGGCAGGCCAGGACCCCTCGGGCAAGGGGGGGAGGTGGTTGGCTGAAGCAGCTCAGACCCAGCAGGATGGCAGCCTTAAGCCAGTCTCAGCGGGCAGGGCACCTCTTCCACCTGGTGACGCTGCCCAGATTCATCTGTGCCAGGTGAAGGAGCTGGCTGAGAAGCCACGGAGCAGCAGCCCTGCCGGCTGGGAGTCTGAGAGGGGAGGGAGGGGGGCCGGTTCCCAAGTGCCAGAATAGGCAAGCCCCCCTCTGACCCCCTCCCCCCCTCCTCCAGCAACACCCCCACATGCTTGATGCAAGGGATGCTGTCATAGGGAACCTGACACCCCTCCCCCCTCCACCAGCAGCAGCAGGCACATTTCTGAATTCAACTTTCCTCTCCACAGGGTGGTCTGTGGGACCCCCAATTACCTGGCCCCCGAAGTCATCGCTAAGAAGGGGCACTCCTTCAAGTCAGACATGTGGGCCCTGGGCTGCATCATGTAAGTCAGAGGCCCCCCACCTTTGGGGCACCAGGGACCGGTTCCTCGGAGAGAGGTTTTTCCGTGGACTGGAGAGTGCGTGGTTTTGTGTGCTGCCTGCATCCCGTGGATGGGGCTTTGCTTGTTTGTGCGGCCCGGGGGCTGGCATGCGGTGGCCTGGTACTGGTCCATGGACCGGGGGTTGGGGACCCCTGATGCAAGTGATCCCCATGGCCAAGGAAGGGTTCCTTTCTGGGGGAAAGGCTGGGCAAAACTCAGGGCTCTGCTCACGGGGGGAGGCTCCTTCTGGGCGTGGGGGGGAGGGTGTCAGGCACGTCTGCCTGTCCCTTTTCTCCCCAGGTACACGGCCCTGGCCGGCTCCCCCCCCTTCGAGATCTCGCACAAGCAGGAGCTGTTCCAGAGGATCCGAGAGGGCCGCTACGCCCTTCCCGACCGCCTCTCCCCAGCCGCCCGCAGCCTGATTGGGAGGCTGCTGGCCCCCGACCCAGCCGCCCGACCCAGCCCGGAAGAGGCGATCCGCCAGCCCTTCTTCACCCAGGTGTGTGCAGCTGCCCTTTGGATTAAAGGCCAAAGCCGGGGAGGGAGAGGGAGGCTGGTGTGTATGTGTGTGTGTGTGTGTGTGTGTGTGTGTGTGTGTGTGTGTGTCCCCTGAATGCAGCCAGTTCCCCGGGGGAGGATGTGGCTGCTCTGAAGACCGGCTTCTCCTAAGGCAATGGTTCTCATCCTTTTTAATGCTGCGACTCCCAACCGGTCGCAAGTCGAGGACTACTCAACTGGTCGTAAGTCGAGGACTACTCAACGGGTGCAGCACCGTTTGCAGAATGGGACTTTTGGCGGGCTCAGCAGGGCAGAGACAGCCTGGACAATTCCTATTGGCTTTTGAAAGCCAATAGAATGAGACTCTATTCAAGAGAGTCTATTCTATTGGCTTTCAAAAGCCAATCGAATAAAAGGGAGTAGCACAGCTAAGGAAAAGGGGGGAAAATTGGCGGACTGCGTTGTTTGGCGACCCCCGTGAAATGGTCATTCGACCCCAAATGGGGTCCCGACCCACAGGTGGAGAACCACTGTCTTAAGGGGACGGGGGCTTCTCCTTCACAGAGACCCCTTTGCTCCTTCTCTAGGCCCCCCTGAGGTGGCCAAGCCGTGAGCCCCTCAACGGGGAGGGGAAACCAAGGAGCGCCAGAGGAGGCGATAGGCAATAATAATACTACATCTTACAAAATCATCTCTAAACCTCTATTAAAGCAACTTTTAATCAGTCAAAGCCAGCAGGATTAAAACAGTGCGAACACGAAAGTCCGCATAGGATTCAAAAGTGCAACAGAAGCGCCTAAACGGCCTCGTGAAATTCAGAGCCTGGAGGGGCTCCCTCTGGCCTGCTGCCCCCTCCCCTCACAAGGCAGGCGTCCCTGGGCCGGAGGGCTGTGCTGGGTTCCCCCCAGAACGGAGGGGGTGGGGGTCTTTCTGGCGAGGAGTGCTGTGGCTGGGCTCAGAGCGGCTCCGGTCCCACCGAACCCTCATGGCAGGGATCCTCCTCTCCCAGCCTGCCCTCGCCTGCCTGCCCCCCCTCCAAAGAAGTCTGGAGTCCCACCCCTCCCCAGCTGTCACTCAGGGCAGAGTGGAGGGTCCTGGGCAGGAGCGTAATTCGGTTCTGCCTCTCTCCCCAGCACTTCACCCCTGCCAGGCTCCCCTCGCGCGCTTGTCACTCTGCCCCCATTTTCCCTTTCGCGAATCCGCTTGGAAAATTCCTCCAGAAAGCAGCCAGGTTCCTTTTCCAGGGCTCCCCTCACCAGGACCCCCAGGCTGGTGAGTGCTCTTGGAAGGAAGAGGGGGGAGGGGGGAATTGGGCAGAGGGAGGGGAGACAAGTCTCCTGCTCTCCTCCCAGGCCCTTTGCAGCTATTAAACTAGGTTTCTAGTCCTCAGTGTACTACAGAAGGCAGGCTTACCATCTAATTGTGTCCCTCTACTGCTGCCCTCCCCCCCAGTGAGCCCTGCACCCCAAGAACAGGAGGAAGCCCCACGGCTGCAAGGATTGGGACCCGCTGCCCCTCCCCACTGGGTAAGAAAGGCTCCTGGCTGCGTTAGGGGTCTTGTCCAACTTCAGCAGTTAAAAGGTTGCTGCAGCTTTCTGGAGCTCATGATCATGTTATCACCACAATTATTCAGACGATTCTCACACTCTGAATGGGCACTGAGAGCCCGGGAGTCACGCGGATTGGTGTTGGTGATCGACTCCCTTTCCCAGTAGAAACCAGTCCTTCCCACTTTGCTGGGATCGTGGTTCGCTACCACTGCCCCCCTCCCTCTGATTGTGCATTTACTGATTTGATTCACCAGCTGGACCCCCCTCCATTCTGGCCGCCTCTCTCCCCTGCCCCCTTAGTGCCCTGGAGGCCTGGTCCTTTTCCCTCAGTCTTCCTGTCTGCCAAATGGGGATAACATTCCTGTCCTTTTGATGGCAGCTTCTGCAAAGTTCTTCTACCACCTCCGTTTAAATTGGGGCCCCACCAAACGGCCTTTGCCGGGTGGTCTCTGGAGAGCGTCTCCTCTGGCACCTGCAGAGGGCCTGGCAGAGGGGAGGGTGCTGCCAAAGGGCACAGCTGCTTTGTGGGATTCATGGGTTGCTCTCGCATTGCCCCCCCCTCCCCATGGCCCTGAAGGAAGCCGAAGAGGGGAGCCCGGACCCTGCGGAGGAGCCCAGCTGCCTTCCCCCCCTCTTGCTGCAGAGGGGCTCCCTGCGCAGCCGGCTGCCCGAAGGTGAGTGGGGGTGCAGGGAGGGCGGCGGGCATGCCACCCCTCCTTCCTTCCTTTCCTCCCTCCCTTCCTTCCCTCCCTCCCTTCCTTCCCCCCTTCCCTGCCATCTCCTCCCTCCCTGCTGTCTCCTTCCTCCCTGGCAGAGGCCAACTGGGGCCCCGGCGGAGTGCTGGAGAGTGTAGAGCGAAGGCTGTGCCGCTGCCTGCAGACCATCCCACTAGGTGAGGCTGCTGCCCCTCTGCCCCCCCCAGTCTCCCTGGGGTCTGCCTTGCCTTCTCCTGGGGGCTTTGTCCCCTCTTCGGCCTGCCAGACCCTCAGCTGCTGCTCCCTTGGACTCGAAGGGACCGGCCCAAAGGCTGGGAGCCTCCCACCTGGGGGGGCTTCCACCCCTCTGGCCATATTGTGCCAGCTCCCCTCCCTTCCGTGTTGTCATCTGGAGTCCTGGGGGAGGGTGAGACCTCTCTGGAGCTGCCCCCAGCCCCCTCCCCTTCCAGAAGGACTTTACCGTTTTGGCACTGTTATTGGTTGATAGCCAAGGCCATTTTATATTGCATCGATAAAGAAGTAAATCCTGCCCAGCTGGGAAGGGGCGACTGGGCACCGTGCCAGGTGAGGCGCTCCGGTGCTCTCCTGGGCACAGAACCTCCATGGGAATTTTCTAGAATAGACCCGCACCAAATCTTGGAGGACTGGAAACTTGACAGGGCCGGGGGGGTGAGGGTGGGCAGGGGGTGCTGGGCCTCCCCCCAGTTTGGGCTGAGCAGAGGGCGTCTCTCTCTCTCTCCCTCTGCAGTGGAAGAGTTGCCCAAAGGCCTGCCACCCAGTGCCAGTCCTGCCCACATGGCCACCAAGTGGGTGGACTACTCCAATAGGTTCGGGTTTGGCTACCTCCTGTCCAATGGGTCGACCGCGGTGCTGCTCCCCGATGGGACTCACGTGGCCTTTTGCCCTCGGCGCCAGTGAGTTTCCCCTTGTGAGTCAGGCACCGCCACACGGGCCCTGGTTTGGGTGAGGGCAACGGAGGCCCAAGCCCCCTGGGCAAGGGGGGGCAGGGTGGGCCAGGTCTGGGTCCTGGTGAGAGAGGGGCCTGGCAGCTGGCTCAGCCTCTCCTGCTTGCTCGGTGCCTCGCGCTCTGGGCTGCAGCTGCTCCAGTGAAGGCCACTTGGGGTGCCCACCCTGCATTGCGGCAGCGCCCCCTCTGGCTTCCCCCTCAGGCGCATCTGCTACCACAGCAAGGTGGAGGAGGCCGTGTCCTTTGGGTGGGGAGAGGTGCCCCCCTGGCTGGCCACCAAGAGGAGCGTCCTTCGCTTCTTCGCCCGGTACATGCAGCAGTGGCTGCAGGAGGTGAGGAGCTGGGAGGGGAGGGGCAGAGAGAGGGGGGCTGTGGGGCACCCCCACTGCAGGCTGGGCCCCTGCCGACCCTGCTTCTTTTGCCAGGGGGCCCCACGGCAGACCAGCCCCGGCAGACCAGCGTGGGACTTTTCCCTCCTGCACTTTGCAAAATCCGACAAGGCCCTCCTGATGCTCTTCAGCGACGGCACCCTGCAGGTAGGAGGAGCCTGCCCCCAGCCAGGGTGAGTGGAGGAGGCCGTGGGTCAGCCCTGAGGTCAAGCTAGCCAAAGGGAGGGAGGTTGGGCTCTGCAAAGACCGAGCAAAGGACGCTGGAGGCCCATCCTGGCCCCCCAGAGGGTCAGCCGGCCGGAACAATGCAAGGCGGCCACAAACATTGGAACAAGCGAAGGGCCAGCAGCCACAAAACAGGTCAAAAGGAGAAATGCGGAAGTTGTTCAAGTGAGAACATCGGCTTTCGGAGGCAGCCAGAGGGGTTTGCAAAATGCGGCTGAAGGCAGAAGGAGGGCGGCCCCCTCCCTCTCCGGCTTTCTTCCTCTGAGGCTCTGCTGGATTCCCAGAAGGGGAAAGGGCCACTGGGGTGTGTGTGGGAGGGGCAGTGTTGGTTTCGGCTTCTTGATGCTGCCTTGTGTCAATCCCAACCTCACAATTCCTGGGATTCGGTCTCCGTTGAGCGCATGGAGCGGGACCAGCAGAACAGAGCCAAGGAGCCAAAGGAGGCAGCCTTCCTCCCCTCCCCCACCTTTCAAAAGTTGGATAAACCTCAGCCTCCCCAGGGAGTCGGGGTCTCCCCCTAAGAGGTGGAGGGTGGTGCCAGCTTCCCCTGGCCCAATTCTGCCTCCCCTTGTCTCTCCCAGGTGAACTTTTACCACGACCACACCAAGATTGTGCTCAGCTGCTCGGCCAAGGGGGAGGAGCTCTTGACCTTCGTGGACCGCCAGCGTTGCAGCACCACCTTCCCTCTGGGCACCCTGGCACGGCAGGGCTGGACGCTGCCCCTGCACGAGCGGGTGCACTACGCCCTGCGCTTGCTGCACTGCCTCTAGCCCCCCCTCCTCCCCAAGGGCCAGCTAGATCCCGTCTCTTCTGGCCACGGCCTCCGCTGGAGGGCCTGGGTGTCCAGGCCTCCGTGGCTCGTCTTCCTTCCAGGGACCCAGGGGGCACACACAGGCCTCCCACCACCACCCTCCTGGGGGGCAGCCAGCCAGAGAGGAGCCCCCCAATTCCCAGGCACCGTCTGTGGGCAAAAGGGGGGCAGAGGCCGGGTCTCCCTCTCCTAGCCCAGCATCTTCACCGCAAGGCTCTCCGGGTGGGGGCGGTGCCTTGACCCCGGATCAGGCTGGTGTGTCTGGGGGGGGGTGCAACCCAGTGGTCTCTTTGGCTGTTGTGGGGAGGCTCTGCAAGCGCAGTGGGGTGGGGAAGCCCTTGGCCATCCGGGTCAGACTCTGTGGCTGTTGGAGGGCAGAGTCCCAGTGGTTGGCAGAAGGGGGGGTCAGATAGTCACAGGTTTGCAGGACTTTGGGGGGGTACAGAAGGGCAGGAAAGCGGGGGGGATGTGTCGGAGAGAGGAGGGGGGACGTTGGAGGCAAATGGGGGGGGGCTGGGAGCTCTGCAGAGAGGGCCAGGCAGGGCAGGCACAGGGAGGGTTTGGGGGGCAGCCATGGGCAGGGTGGGGCGGCAGGGACCTTCTAGGGGCTGTGGGGCTGCGTGCAGATGGTCTCTGCTGCTTGGCCCACGGTGGGGATCCTTAGGGTGGGGCGGCTCCCCTGGGCCAAGCGGGGGTTCTGTTCTCAGGGTTGGCTTGGAGCAGCCGTTAAGGGGTCCCGTGAGATATGGAAGGGTCCCCCCCCCGGCCGGCTGGCACTAGTGGGGCGAGAGAGGCAGCTGGGCAGAGGGAAATCAGCTGGGCAGCATCTGTGACTCCTTGGAAGTCTTCCGGGAGGCCGTCACCCCAGTGGGCCCAGGGCAGGGACCCACATTTTTTCCACAGTGCCAACATGATTGTTGTCATCTATTAAATGCGTGAGTGCCAAATCTTTTCAGTCTCACAGCTTACAACACAATATGATTAGAAGCAACTTGAAGTCAAGTGGCGTTATGACAGAACCAAAACAAACAAACCAACCCCAAACAACAGCAATACACAAAGCATCCATGGCTGTGTGATCCCTCCCTGGAGCCCTGAAGGCTCTGACCAAGGAGAGCCAGCTCGCCCAGCCCGGGTCGGGTGGGGCTCCCTTGCCTCCCCCCGAGAGAGGCCAGGCTTCGGGGCCTCGTCCCCCGGCTGGAGCCCTGGGGGGAGCCTTGGGGGGCTGGAGGGGCTCGGTGGGGAAAAGCCTGCACCGCTCCCTGGCAAGTGGCCTCACCCAGACCCGAACTGCCACATCAGGCCAGCGGTTGTGAGTGGCAGAGGCCAAGCAGCGTCTGAGAAAGCGGCCTGGGCCTCGGAAGGCCTGGGCCCAGGGAGGGTCCCCGGCAGATTCTGCCGTGCCTGGAGAGACGGCCTGGGCAGCAGGGAAGGGGCCAGCCGGGATGCAGAGAGGAGGGAGGGAGGGGGGCACAGCTCCTTTCGCCTGGACGCAGCTCAGCCACTGAGGCAACAGCAGAGATTTAAAAGGCAAGCCGCAGATTCCCCCCCCCGTTGGAGAGGCTCTCCCCCCCCCCGTTTGGAAACAGAACCACCAGCGCCGCCTTCATCTTGGGGGGGGGGGCAATCTGGGCTTGTACTTTCGAGCTCCGCCTCGGACTCCCCCGGCAGTAGTCTTTCCCCGCCGCTTTTGAGGGGCCTCGGCTGCGAGGCTTCCACGTGGCCCACGAGCAAGGCAGCTGCTGCCTCCTGTCCCCAGGGCGGCGGCGGGGGGGGGGAGAGCGGGACAGCAGGTGCCGGAGCCCCAGCAGAGCGCTGCGAATTTGGACGCTGCTATTTAAATCGCAGACAGTCCGAAGCGAGACAGGAGGAACCGGCCCGGCGTGCTAAATGCTGCTCGGTCGGTGGGGGGGGGGGCTCGCAATCGGTTAGAGCAGCCCCCTCCCCGCTCTCTTCCAGACCAGGCGGGGAATGCCGGAGTTCCCGCCAGATCGTCCAACCTCCTGCCCCGGCCCCCCACGTCCTGGGCTGGCACATGCGTCCGGCGGGTCAGCATCCATCCTCCCCCAGAACTGCGCAGCGCACCGTCGCAGCAGGGGGAGGAAAGCCCGGGGCGCGGCTGTGAATCGCACCTGCCTGCCTGCCTTCGCCGGACCCGCGGGCGGGGGGTTGGTCCCCGCAGGGCGGGGAGGCGCTGGGCTGGCCCCGGCCCAGACGCCTGGCTAGCCCGAGGCTCAGCCCTTCCTTCGGCTAGAGAGATTCGCGGGGGGGCGAGGGGGGGCGAGGAGACTGCCCTCCCCCCTCGACGGCGCCGCCGCTCTTCAGGCCGGGCCCGCGCCAAGTTGCGCTTCGAGCGCCGCCGATGGAGCCGCGCCTGGCTGTCCCGGGGCTGCCGACGGCCGAGGCCGCGATCTCCTTCGGGCCCCGAAGACCAGACGGGGCGCTGCAGCCCAAACAGAACTTAATCTAGGCCGATGCACCCCGAAAATAAACGACCTGAAATTAGCCCGAGCTAAAATTAGCCCGGCCTCTCGCCCTGCAGCGGCGGCTCCCGGATCCCTCTGCAGGGGCCGGCGGCGGGGAGGAGCAGCCGGTCCCAGCGGAGGCCCGCAGACCCCCTCCGCCCCTCGAAGCAAGCCTTGCATAAAAGGCGCCGGGTGGTGGAAATGGAGCCGTTATATAGGATCGCTGTGAAAACCCCATCCAACAGTATTGCAGCGAAACAGAGGATCTCAGCGTGGATGTTCCCGATCGGCTTCCTTCACACGGGACCCCCATCAGAGCCTGGCTGCTCTCACAATGACAAGTGGCCGCTGGAGGTCACCGGGCTGCAGACTCGTTCCTCTGACCCACGTTTACATGGCCCCCCCCAAAAAATATGCCCAGTGAGCTGCCCCAGGAACGCCCCCAAAACTGACACAGTTGTTGGATGGAATCTGGTACAGCATAGCACAGTTGGAAGGGACCCTGGAGGTCTTCTAGTCCAGTGGTTCTTCACCTTTTTGAACGAATCCCCCCCTTGAGCCAATGAGGAAGTTGTCATCGCCCCCCTCCCCCAACATAACCTCTCAATCACAACAAAGGAAATAATTCTTCCATTTATGCAAACACTTTTTATGTTTTCTTTAAAATTGTCATCAGGACATATCGATGCAAATAATTTATTTCCAGTCTTTTTCCCATATCTCCCCTATTCTGGCCAATGGCGCGCCACTGTATGGGTAGACGCTGCTGCGCAATGCGCATGAAGATAAGCGATGCATATTCACATACGTACGGCGTTCTGTACTGAAGCTAGCTGGAGGAACATTTGAAAACACAATTCAATCCACTAATAGCGAGTGATCTGATGTTTTTGTACGACAGATATACTGTACGAAAAAGTCTCAAAAGTGTCCCCAAAACTTCTCGCTCCATCGCCCCATATCACCTCCTTTTCGTTCCTTCGCCCCCGCATCGCCCCTTTTCATTCCATCGCCCCCCTGAAAAATGAAATCGCCCCCTGGGGGGCAATATTGCCCAGGTTAAGAACCACTGTTCTAGTCCAACCCCCCTCCCCCGGCCAAGCAGAGAACCCCGTATCATTCTGGGCAAATGGTTGTCCAGTCTCTTCTTAAAACGTTCCAGTAATGGAGCACCTACAACTTCTGGAGGGAAGACAAATTATTACTTGTTCTCCCTGGCAGGAAATTTCTCCTTAGTTCCAGGTTGCTTCTCTCCTTGATTAGTTTCCATCCTTGCTTCTTGTCCTGCCCAGGGGGCTTTGGAGAACAGCTTGACCCCCTCTTCTTTGGGGCAGCCCCAGAGATATTGGAACACTGCTGTCATGCCTCCCCCCACCCCTGGCCCTTCTCCATGTGAGACTAGACTAGACGTACCCAGTTCCTGCAATTGTTCCTCATGTATTTTAGCTTCTCAGCATCTTTGTAAAGTCTCAACCTCTTTTCTGTATCACGGTGACCAAAACAACATACAGAATTCCAAGTGTGGACGGATCAGTGCAGTATAAAACAACACAAACACTTCACCTGATCTTGGTACCTTAATTTTCCTCCTTGCTGCTCTGCACGATACTCACAACCTTAGAGGCGCAAAAATACCATAGGCACCAGCAGCATAACTGATTCTGCACATGTGTTACCCGAATCGTGTCCATCTCCGCGGTAGAGATCCACAAAGGTCTGTTGCGTGTGGCTGGCAAAAACGGATCCTGAGGGACGCCGTGCAGCTTTAAAGGCAACGTTTTATATCAGTCCCTGCAACACTGCAGGGTACGCCTGTTGTGTGTTACCACAATACCTTTGTAGTGCAAAATCAGACACAAGGATTGCACATTGAGTCAGAAGGCTCTTTAGAGGCCATCTAGATCTACTCTCTGCATAGTGTAGGGTCTCTAGAGCAACTGTGAGCGAGGCCCAAACAGCGTCCGCTTAAAAACCTTGGCCCAAGAAGAGCTCGCTGCTTCACCCAGCAGCCTACTCTGCAGGCGTATCATTTAACAGAACAACAGAGTGGGAAGGGGCCTCGGAGGTCTTCTAGTCAACCCCCTGCTCAAGTGGGAGACCCTGTACCATCCTAGGCGAGTGGCTGTCCAGCCTCTTCTTAAAAAGACTCCAGGGTTGGAGCACCCACAACTTCTGGTGGCAAGCAGCTCCAATGGTTAATCGCTTGCCCAACCTGGAAGACATTGGGACTCAAAGACCCCAAAACCTGCACCTCAGCCAGGGGTGCAAGGGGGGTCATGGAGCGATCAGACCCTCACGGGTGTTCCCGATGAGGCCACCACAGAAGAGGCCGGGGTGGGGGTCACCTCCTGGCAGACTCCTCACCCGTTCAGGGGTGGGCTCCACAAAAGTCCAGTTCGCTGGGATTAGTGTGGGGACAACACACAGCTACTACGTGTGAACCTGAGAAGCCAGGTTCAAAATAACCATGTTGCCATTTAAGACCTCTGGAGCTGGCAGGACAAAACACTCCAGTGTTGTTGATGCAGTTGGAAATCCGACACTTTGTGAAAGTCATTTGGCTGCCTTACAACCCCATTGGCTGCACATGGCCTTGTGGGGGGGAGGGGCCCACACTCCCCACATAGAATACCCCAGGGGTCACCTGGCGGGACCTGCCACTGCAGCCCCTTCTGAGCACCAGTTAGATTAACCAGAGCCCCCCCCTGCAAGGGGGGAGGCAAGCTCTGCAAAGCCTTAAAGGTCTGGTGGCTGCCTCGGGTGGGGGCCTGGGGGGGGGGTTGAATGGATTTGCTGATCTGTCCACCCTCAGCGGCACTTCCTGTATGTTCTCTGGGGTTGATACTTTTGTTGTGTCAGCCACCCAGAATCACATTCACAAAATGGCAGGCCTTGTGAACTCACTGGATCCCTTGCCAGATGTTTCCCCCCACCCCCAGCCACTGAGAAAGATGCCATCTGGGGCAAGATGTAACTCAGGCAAGCCCTTTGAGCGCCTCTGCCCCATATTCAAGTCCAACGGCTGCTCTGGGGAGGTCACCATCCTGTACTGGACGCAGGGTGGCTGGGGAGACACTGGGTCTTGTGGAAAATCGGGTGGATCCAGTCCTCATGAGGGCGGGTGGGCCGACTGGGCGCAGGCCCCTCATGTGACCTGAGGGAGGCCCAGGGAAAACCAGGCAGAGGGGAAGGGGAAGAGCAAATGAGCTGAGCAGCCCTGGGCTCCCCCCCAGGGTCCCAGCAGCTGGCCCATCCCTCTCCTCACCCTGCCTTCTTCTGGCAGCTGAGCTGCTCCCAGGCAGGGCCGATCCCTTGGGAAGCCCCCACTGCCCAAACGGACCCTCCTGCCCCAGCCCCAAGAGGAGGGGAGGGGAGCGGACAGCCCAGCGACCAGCCAAGCCTTGAATCTGCAGGGCAGGCAGCCCCGCTGGCAACAGGAAGAGGCCGGCTCTGCCCCAGGCAAGAGAGGCCGGGAGGGAGGCAAAGGCAGGCAGGCAGGGCGGGAGGGCAGCGGGCCTGCAGGAGGCCCAGGGCAGGCCTGGCGCTGGGGCCTCTCTAGGCCTCCAGCCTGACCAGACAAGCGTCTCTGCCCGGATCGGGCAACTTGTTGCGGGACAATTCAAGCAACCTATTTAATTATTTAAAGCAATTAAAACATTACTTTTTGTCATTCACATTTCGTTCTGTCCCTCCTTTGGCATCCTTTCTTTAATGATTCTGTTCCACTGCTTCTTTGATATTAGTGTAATTCTTGCAGCCAGTTGTCCTAGACCAGCCTCTGCCGGCCCACACACACACACACACACCCCGGGACCGGCTCCTGCAACAGTCCCCCAAGATGGGCCCCCTTCCCCCCCAGAGCCTGGCTTCACACGGCCCCCAGGGCCCAGCAGGAGGGGGCCCAGCGTGTCCGAGGCAGGAGCCCCGGGGGACCAATCGGTCCTAGTAAGGAAAGCCCAGAAGCTGGACCACGGCCTCATGCCGGGCACCCTGGCCAGGATCTGCCCTGCGGCCAATGGACAGATGGGAACTGCTGGACTCAGCCAGAGGAGCTCCGGGCAGGAGGAAAAGGCCAGCCCTGCGGACCTCCCCTCGCCCCCCCTGCCCACATCGGCTCTTCCCTCCAGCTCCCGGAAGGCCCTCTGCCCCTCGGGAGAGGCTCCCTCCCACCGGTGGACCCACAGAGCCTCCTTGGGAAGCCGCGTCGCAGCTGCGCTGGGGTGGGGGCAGACCCCTGGCTCAGAGGGGCACGATCCCCGGGCACCGCACCTGCGGCCCTCTCCTTCCCCCGCCTCCGGTCTCCCCTGGGCAGAGCAGACGCTCTCCCCGGAAGGGGCTCGTCTGAGATGGGACTCCCTCCGTCCAGGCCTCGCCCATGACATCTCCCCACCGCCCTTCCCAGCACCGCCAGCACAGAGTGAAGGTGAGTAAGCAGTTTAATAATGCCGCCCCCCCACCCTGTAAAAGAGCGGGGGGGGCAGCTTCAATCCAAGCACACCACTAAATCTACCACGGCAGCACCACGGGGGAGGGCCAGGCCCACAACGGTCTGGCGGAGGGGCAGCAGGCGCTCAGCACGCCGAGGGCAGGGAGCTGGGGGCCACGGCCAGCCCCTTGCTCTCCAGGAAGGCGTCCTGGTTGGGGGCCCTTCCCAGGAACCGTAGCAGCATCTCCGCAGCGTCCACCGACCCGCCTGGCCGGAGGATGCAGTTCCGGTAGTCCAGCCCCACCTGCAAAGGGTGAGACAGATTCTTTCTGGGGGGGGTCCTCCTTCTTGGCAAAGGGGGCCCACTGCTGTGGGGGGGAGGGCCCGTACCTTGGAGCTCATGACCCCCTCCTGCTTGAAGCGGGTGTAGAACATGTCCATCGAGTAGACCTCACTCCAGAGGTAGCCATAGTACTGGGCGTCGTAGCCTCCTGCTAAGTGGCCGAAGGTGGCCGGCATGTTGGTGCCTGAGAGAGAGGAGGCATCAGGAGAGGGGGGCATTGGGTCCGGCTGCGGCTTGGGGGAGGGAAGGCGGCCGATCCCGCCACCTGAGGCTGCGCGCTTGGGGGCTCCCTTAAAGGCCTTCCAGGGCCCACTCCGAGCAACTTCCTCCCCCTAGCTCTCCCCCAAGGAACCCAAGGGGTTGGCTTTGGTGGTGGTGGGGCACAGAGTGAGATCCCTCACAAACTGGACCTCCTGGCCGAAAATGCGCCCCCCCATGGATGTGCCTCCGTGAGGAGAGAACGGGACATCCTCAGAAAACTCTGGCCCGGTCCATGAAGGAAGGTGGCTGCTCCCTGCGTGGATTTTGGGGTACCCTGACGAGCGCCCCGTCTTCCATCTCCAGTCCTTAGAGGCCGGCAAGGCCTTGGCTGAAGGCAACCAGGCCTCAAGCAGGCGCTTTGCTTCCCAGGGCCAAATTCCCCTCTTGGGCAGGGCCGATGCTTCGTGCTGGCCATCCACCTGCCACCCGCCCTGCTTCCCAGGCCCCCAAAGCGGGGGTCGAGTGGATGCTCTCGGGAGGCCAGGCTGCCCCCGCAGCCTCCCTGCCCATCACCTGGGGTGGCTGGGATGCCCAGGATCTCCGCGCTGAGCCGGGCGTATTCCTGGGCAGGATCTGCTTGCGTCTGCGTGTGCAGGGCCTGGTCGAGCTTGGCCAACACGACCTGACGCAGGTTGAAGAGCCCTGAGGAGCCCAGGGGAGAGACGGGCGTCGGCCGAGGGCTCCCCTCCGAGGCTCCCCAGCCGGTCCCTGTGCCGCCTTTGGGCCAGCAGGGGGGGTTCACTCCCTGCTGGGGAGGCCGTGCACCGTGGGACAGGCAGACCCCAGAGGGGCCCTGACACCTCGCCTGGCTCCGGGAGAACCATCCCTGCAGGAGGGCTGGGGAGGAGAGGTCTTTGCGGACCCTCTCAGGCAGTGTACTGGCTGGACAGGACACGGGCTCAAGTCGGGGTCTCTCGGCCCGGACTGCCTCCCAGCCTGGGAGGGGTGGGGCCCCATTCAGCCCCCCTGCTGCTATCTGTCCCTCCCTCCAAAGCAGCATTGCCCGTGGCCCCGGGGCCAAGGGGAGAGAGCTGCCCAAGCAGAGAGCAGGCTCCCCGGTGGGAGTGGGCTCCTTCCCCCGGAGACCCACCTCGTCTCCACTCCCTCCGGCTGCCAGGGCGCTGCTCACCTGTGTTGGCCTGGCGGGAGCGGATCAGCTTCTCCAGCAGCTCGGAGGGGATCCGCTCGCCCGTCTTGTAGTGCCTGGACATGCGCTGCAGGGGCCCCTTCTCCCACACCCAGTTCTCCAGCATCTGGGAGGGGGCCTCCACGAAGTCTCGCTCCACGTGGGTCCCGCTGAACATGGCGAAGTCGGCCTGTGGGGGGAGGGGTCAGGACGGGACTGGCAGCCCCTCCGCAAGGGCGCTCCCTGCCTCCCCTCCTTCCTCGTGGCCGGGGGACTCTCCCCTCCGGCTCCCACCTCACCTGGGAGCACAGCTGGTGCATGACGTGGCCGAACTCGTGGAAGTAGGTCTCCACCTCATCGTGCTGCAGCAGGGAAGGGGCCTCCTGCGTCGGCTTGGTGAAGTTGGCCACCATGGCAGCCACGGCCATCTGGCGGCTGCCATCCGGCAACAGGCAGCCAGGCTGCAGCCCGAAGCAGGCCGCGTGCCCGTATTTGCCCTCCCTGGTGCAGAGACAGGAGTCAAAGGGCGAGGTCAGAGTGACCCAAAGCGGGCGATGGGCACTGCCGAAGGCTCGGAGCGGCCCCTTTTGCCCCCCCCCAGACGCTCCAAGGGGCAGGCCTCAATGAGGTCCAGCCTGCTCCCCTTCGGTCAACGACCCAGAGGGAGGAAACCTCGCTGGAGGCTTTCCAGAAGAGGCTGGACAGGTGTAGGGTCTCCTGCCTGAGCAGGGGGTGGACTAGAAGACCTCTGAGGTCCCTTCCAGCTCTGACAGTTTGTTATGAGCCTGGTGGTGCTGTGGTTAAGAGTGCAGTACTGCAGGCTGCTTCTGCTGGCTGCCAGCAGGAGAGAAGAAGAAGGAGGGGATGGGCAACAGCCACGGGGAAGACTTGGCCACGGGGACAACGGAGACCCCATTGGGAGACCTGAAAGATCGAGGCGGGGTCTGGCCCTCCTGACAAAAAATCCATGCGGTTGTTAAGAGAAAGACTGTCAATTCTGTCAATTTCTCTTTCATTTTTCAATTTTTACATTCGAACCCAGGAGCCCTGCAGCAAAGTCACAGAGGCTCTGCAGGATATTTTAAACTCACAAGAGAAACGCAATATTCACTGTCTGCCGGATTCCACGCAAACCACCACCCTAGACGTGCCACAACACAATTGCCGAGATGTTGGGGGTGCCACAAGTCGAGAGAGTCAGGAAATCTCTGCCCCATGTGGCCACCATGCCCCCCCAACCCCCCCCCCCGGCCTCTGTATTTCAAGAAAAGTGCTGCAGGGACCCCCAACGGCCTCTGCACGGAGGGCAGCCCAGCAGCCCGGCCTTCCCAGAGCGGCCCACGTCCCACCGCCCGGCCCCTCCCAGGCTCACCGCGGGTAAAGGTCCAGGTAGAACTGGCCAAGGGTCTCTCCGGAGGCCAGGTCCTGCACGGTGTAGAGCTGGACATCCTCGTGCCAGGCCTGGGCGTCCTCCTCCCGGTGGAAGGCCAGCCCCAGCAGCTCCTGGTAGATGCCCAGCAAGCCGGCCGTCACCACTTGCATGGGGAAGAACTCCTTCAGCAGGTTCTGGTCCACGCTGTACTGGGTCTCCTCCACCTGGTTCATGTAGTAGCGCATGTCCCAGGCGTTGATGCGCCCGTCAAAGGGCAGCGCCCGCTGCTCGCACTCCCTCTGCTTCAGGCTCAGGACCACCGCCCGCTCCGTTTCGCCCAGCGGCTTCAGCTTGGCTGCCAGCTCATCTGCAGGGAGCCCGGGAAGTGAGCAGGGACCGCCCGCGAATGCCCAGGCTTGGCCCCTCCAGCTGGCATAGAAGGGGAGCCCCTGCCATGGCCTCTTGGGGGGGGGCGCTTTCTGGCCACTGCAGCCGAGTCTCCTTTCTGCTCAGATGACCCTCCAACCTGCAGTCACAGCCCCTTCTGAGTTTCAACCTATGAGCCATTTCCCCTTTATCCCCCCCCCCAGCAGACGCGACCCCCAGAGTTGCCGTGAGGTAGGAGCTCAACGCCTCCCTGGAGAAAGGAGTCCTCAACCCCTGAGCAGCCAGAAGATGCCGAGGCAGGCAAGGCGCCTTGTTGCCTCACCCCCCGCGTTCTCTCTGCTGACCGCTCCTCGTTGGCCCCCTGCAGCCCTCATCACACTGTCCCTCGCCTCACCCAGGAAGGCTGCCACTGTCTTGCAGTCCTTGGCCATGTTCATCTCCAGCACGAAGGCCGCGTGGGTCTCGAACCCCAGGAGCGCCGACTTCTGGGCCCGCAGCTCCACCAGCTGCTGGAGGATCCGGCAGTTCTCCTGTGCCGTTGGGGGGGGGAGGGGAAGCGAGCTCAGCCTCCAGGTGGTGGAACTCTGCCCCTTCCCAGCACGTGTGTGTGGGGAAGGGGACCCGCTGCCCCCTCCCCCATACCTCTTTGCAGCGGGAGTTGAAGCGCTCCTCCATCCGCTTCCGGGTCTCGGGCACGTGGCACTTCTTCATCAGGGGAAAGTAATGGGGGTACTTGAGGCTGACCTTCAGCTTGCCGTCCTCCGCCTTCTCCAGGGAGCTTAGGAAATCCTCGGGGAGCCCCCCTGGACGGGAGAAGAGGGAGCCCTGCTAGGCGGGCCAAGCTCTGCGCAGCGCCTCCAGGCCGGGTAAGAGCAGCCGCCTGCCCGGAGAAAGCCGAGAGCCGGGCCCTGGTGCGCCTCCGTGATTCATGACGAGGACCAACTTTTTCTCACCAGGCCCGCTGAAGGCCGTGGGCGCAGTTCTTCTATAAGCTCCCCCTCAGCCCCCCAGCCATGTGACTTTGGGTCCCGACCTTTACAGCTGGGTCAGGAGAAGCGCTCTGAACAGGGGCTGCCAGCACTCCAGGGCTGGAGGAGGGGGAGGAGGACCCCCCACCAAGGCAGCCCAGCTGCACTGCTCCAAGCGTCCCAGGAGGGGCTCCTCACAGGCAGAGGGGATGAGGAGCGCCCGGAGAGCCTCCCGCTACAGCAGAGACGCTACAGCAGAGACGCCAGGCAACCTCCTGGGCCTCCTGGCACCACCTGCCTTTGGCTGCTTGAGCAGGGAAAAGCAGCAGGGGGGGGGGACAGGAGGAAGAGATTCCAGGCCCAACCTCCCATCGGAAGCCAGAGGGGAAAGGAAGGAAGGGAGAGGAATCAGGGGAGGGTCACAGAAGAGAATCTCTGTAGCTCGGGGTTCAACTGGGGGAGGGGGTCCTTGCTGCTCTCTGAGCTTGGCTGTTTTCTTGAAAATGTTTCATTACCAAACCAGGGAACACCATGAGGGCTAGACTGTTGAAATTTAAAAGATGCTCAGCTGACATCGACAGACACGTTATGCTAAACCTGCAAGAAACCTTCCTTGCACTAATCCTTCTCCTTGACAGGGCCGCAATGTGGCTCTCAGCCCTCCTTTGAGGGGAAAACGTGGCACCACAGAGGCCACGGCCGAGGGCCAGATTCCCCCCCACGATGGCTGTCAGGCCTCTCCCGCCGCAGCCTCACCCAGCTCCTCCCTGGTAAAAGCCAGGAAAGTGGCGTCTTCATTGAGGTTTTTGCTGAAGTCAATGCACAGCACGCTCAGCTTCTTCTTAATCTCCTTGATTTTCTGAGAAAGCGAGGAAACGACGTGAACAACCCGGAGACCGCCAGCAGAGATCCAGCCCTCCCCCCTGCCAGACTCCGAAGCAGCCGCCCTTCCTTAAAAGCTGCCTGGGCAGCCTCCCGGCCAGGGATCAAAGCCACAGGCTGTCCCTTGGTCTGCGTGCACAGGGCAGCCTGCTCACCTCCTGCACCTCCCCGGCCAGGTGGAGGCCGCTCCGTTGGCCCAGCTTGACCAGCCTTTCCAAGTAGCGCTTGGCTTCTGGCTTTAGGGAAACACCGTCCAGCTTCTCCTGGGGAAGGAAAGGGGTCTCTGACAGGGCAGGCAGCCTCGCCTGCCGGGGCAACCGGGGGCTCTTCCTAGTGGCTGCCAGTCTCTGGCCCCAAGGTGGCCGGGTCCACAGTGCCCACGGACATGCTGGGCGTGAAAAAGCTGAGTAGGAAGCAGCTGAGGGAGCCATGAGGGCCAGAGACGGGGGGGGCGCGCGCTGGGGGCGGAGTTTGGAGCAGGGGGGCCCTCGGAGGCTCCTGCAGATCTGGGTGCGAGGCGGGCCCTATCGCTAGAGCAGTATTTCTCAACCTTGACATTTTTAAGGCATGTGGACTTCAACTCCCAGAATTCCGCAGCCAGCAATGCTGGCTGTGGAATTCTGGGAGTTGAAGTCCACATGCCTTAAAATTGTCAAGGTTGAGAAACACTGCGCTAGAGCCTTCTCCACTGGCCGAGGGCTCTTGACTCAGCCTTGGGGCCACACAAACCGCCCCGTCCGGTCTCGGCAGGGCAGGTCTGGGCTCCTCCCTGGTTCTGCCAGAAGCCAGGGAGGGCCAAGCGGGGCACGGAACCGGCAGAGCCGGCCAGCTGACCTGCAGCCAGGTGATCCGCTGGTAGACGTCCTGCCGCATGCTGGTCTCCACGTCGAACTCCGAGAGCTGCTTGTCTGCCTCGGTGCTGGCGGTGCGGACCTCCCGGCTGGGGGAGACGTGTTGCGGGAAATCCAGCATATTCCGCTGCACTGTAGGGCGGGAAGCGCTCAGGCTGGGACGGGGGATTCCCCTGCGCCCCCTGCCCACCTGGCTGCGCGCTCCCCGGCGCCCCCTGCCCGCCCCCCCCGCTCCCCTGGGTGCGCGCCCCCGGCTCCTCCCCCCGCCCACCTGTGTACTCGCGCTCGGCGGCGGCCAGGGCGTGCAGCGTGTTCTCGCAAGAGACCTCCCGTCGATCGAGGGCGCCCACGGCGTCGTACACCTGCCGGGTGCGGGCCACCAGCTGGGCGGCGGCGCTGCGGATCTGCTGGGCGCCCAAATCCCATCGCAGGCGGCTGCCGCGGGGCGTCGGGCTCTCCGGGGCGCTTCCTGGGCGGGGGACGAAGAGGGCGGCGCCGTCAGACCCTTCCCCGCGCCCCCTCTCCCCCGGGCGACGGAGAGGGCCCCGCGCCCCACGGAGACCCCGGCCCGCAGTTACCCATCGGGGGAACCATGCCGCGTGTTCGCTCTCGGTCGAGGGGAGCCGGAGAGAGCAGGACCGCCCTCCAGGAGGGTGGAGCTCTCCTCCGCCCCGCCCCGCCCCGCCCCCCAGCCCAGTGGCAGGAAGTTCCGTGGGCCCGGCACTCGGAGGGGAGCGGCGGATGCTCCGCCCGTGTTCTAGACCCCACGCTCGCGGGCGCCGGCCAGGCCACCGGGAGCCCCGGCCCCTCCCCTCCTGCAGGCGAAAGGCGGGTCCCGCGTGTTCGCGGTCCACGAGCGAAGCGGACCTGGGTGGGCCGAGCGCATCGCGCTCCCTGCGCGCGAGACTCGGAAACGGGCTCTGTCAAACAGAGGCGGCCCCTCTGTCCTTTCCTAGCTCTGGCGAAGGGAGAAGGGGACCTGGAGACCGGCGACGGGCGAAACGTCGCCCGCCGCGCAGGCGCGGCGCCCTGACCCGGCGTGCCCCGTTCGCGCCTGCGCAGTCGGCCGGAGGGCGGACAAGGGGCCGATCACGCCCGCTCCTGCGCTGGGGTCGCCGCCGTCGGGGGTGAGCCGGGCCGGGAACGGGGGCGGGAGGGCCTGTCCCGATCGGGGCCGGGAGCCGCGCATGGCCCCGCCGGCGAGGGGGGCGAGGAGAGGGGAGCCCGTGCCCATCGGTGGGGGGAGGAGGGGGGAGGGGCGGGCCCTTCCGGGTGGCCTCCCCCCCAGCTGGACACCTCCCGTGTCCGCCCCCCGCAGGAAGCTCCGCCTCCGCGAGGGACGCCGGGCCAGCATGGCGGAGCCGCAGAAGCGCCTGGCCTTCGCCATCATCGAGTTCCTGCAGGAGCAGCTGCAGCACGGCGGGCTCTCCCCGGACGCCCAGGAGAGCCTGGAAGGTGGGCGGGGGGCGGGGGAGGGCGGGCGCGGCGGCGACACCCCCACCTACGCACCCCCTCCTCTCCCCCTCCCCTGCAGGGGACCCGGGGGTGCTGCTGCTGCGAGCGACGCGCCCCCCTCCACTCTCTCTCTGTCTCCCCCTCCCCTTCCCCCCTCCCGCAGTGGCCATCCAGTGCCTGGAGACGGCCTTCGGGGTGTCCGTGGAGGACCGGGGCCTGGCCATCTCGCAGAAGCTCCCGGACATTTTTGAAGCTGCTGCCGCCAAAGTGAGCGTCCTGGGGAGGCTCTTCGGGGTACGGGAGGGGGAAACCTTTTTCTTCTTCGCTCCCCTCCCCCTCCCCCCACTGAGTGAGGGAAGACCCCGGGTGGGGCCGAGGGTATGCGGGGGGGGGCAGGGCTATCTCTGGGGCCAAACCCTGGAAAGGGCCACTTGGCGAAACACACCAGCGGGGGTGAAGCCGGCATCCCTGAGCAGGAAACTTTCCCTCCGTTCCTTGTTAGTTTCCAAGTTTGGGACTGGCACTCCGATTCCCCATTCCCCTTTTATCCCCTGTCAGCTTTCCCCAAAAGAGTTTATTGGCAATTCTCAAGCAACGACTGTCCATGAGGGTCTGTTTCCGACAGACCTAGGGATTAAGGATTAAGTCCCAGTTTCCTTCTCTGTACAATCCTCATCGATCTTGGGGCTTTAATGCAGGATCAGCAGCTGCTTTGAGTAAAACTGGAACCACCCCCAGCCCTGTGATCCAATGGCAATTATGCTGACTTTCAAGTTGCATCTGGAAAACAAACTCCAGAAAGACAGGTCAAAACTCAAGGCCTGGAAGATCACACACCCAGGCGGCCTTATTGATTAGAGAGCTGTAATTGCTGGGTGTCTCTCCTCATACCAGTCTTTTAAAGTCTCTCGCAGGGATTGGGATGAAGCCACTTCAGAGAGCGTTTACCTGGGCCAAGTTGCTCTTTGCAATGCCTTCCGGGGTCCTGAAGATCCTAGAAAGGCAGCTGAGACCCGGGCTCTGCTCCCACCATCCCGGGAGGAAGAGGGCAGTGCAGGGCTGGGGCCTCTGGAAGGGGCTGGGCAGCCATCAGCTGCTGAGTTAGGCCCACCCTTTCCTAACTCCGTGCCCTCCAGGGCAATAGGCAGCCGTTCCCATAATCCCCGGCCAGCCTTTGCCTTTGAAGGAGACTCGTGCAGTAGGGTGACTACCAGGGGAGGCCATCCCAAGCCCTTCTGGCCAGCCACTCTGACCTTGCAAGTCCTGGGCTATCCAGAGCATCCCTGACGCCCCCCTGCTCCCCCCGCTGGGCCTTCCCTTCTTCCCAACAGGAGCCCTTGCAGAGCTGCCCCATTGCTGAGCCCGCCTCTCCCACCGAAGAGGATGTGGTTGAGGCTGAAAGACTGAAAACTGAAGGTGAGCCTTTGGGTGGGTGGGGGTCTCCTGCTTGTTCTTGGCACCCAGGGAGGGTGGTGTGGGCAGCAGGGCACTCCCTCCAAGCATCCCCAGCATCTGGACAGGGAACATTGGGGGGGGGGCTGGGAGGACGTCTTTGTCGGGCTCCAAAGAACAAGAAAGACACGCTGAGTGGCTTCAGAGCCGTTCCCTGCACTGCTCCTTGCCCAGAGGCAGAAGCCTCGCCCGACTCCAGCGACTGTTTGCAGAGAAGCCACCATCCCTGGGGGAGGCTTGTCATCCGGCCCAGGCTGGGCTCCCTAGCAATGTCCTCTGCCTCCCGCAATGAGGAGGGGGGCTTTCCTGCGGTGTCCCCGACTGCCCAGCCAGGACAAGCAAGGTCGCCAATGGAAAGGGGCCTTCGGAGGAAGAAAGCTGAGGGCTGGCAGCCCTGGCCCAGGTGGGTGGGGAAGGGAGGAGGCCAGGCTTCCCAGCAGTGGCCCTTTGGGCGAGACCCGGGCGAGGGACCCCCAGAGCGACCACCAGGCAATGTTGGAAGTGCGACGGGAGGGGGGGGAGGATTGCCCTCTGGTGAAATTTAAGGCAGCTCCCCCCTCGTTTCTTCTTTCCAGGCAACGAGCAGATGAAAGTGGAGAACTTCCAAAGTGCCGTCTCGTTCTACGGAAGAGCCATCGAACTCAACCCGGCCAACGCTGTGTACTACTGCAACCGGTGAGAGGGCTCCTGTCTCAGTTCTCCAGCTGCACTTGCTCCGGGAGCCCGAAATGGGGGAGGGGGTGAGAGCGCCCAGGGGAAAAAAGAAAAAAAGCCCCACCCTTGCTCATGGGGTCCGAAGTGGAGAGCCTCTCCCAAGGAGCCCCCTCTCCCCCCTCAGGGCTGCTGCTTACAGCAAACTCGGAAACTACGCTGGGGCAGTGAGGGACTGCGAGAGAGCCATCAACATCGACCCCAAGTACAGCAAGGCCTACGGCCGGATGGGGTGCGTGGGTCCCAGCGCTGCCCTCGGGCCTGGTGGGGGAGGGGCTGCTGACCCCAGGGGTGGGGGTGGGGAGAACCTGGGGCTTCAGAGGAAGAAGAAAGGCGCCTGCCCCTCCCGGGAGACCCCCCCCCTTCAGAGGCCGTGGGGAGCCCTTCCCGCCCCCTCCTTTCGTGCTATCCCGTGCGTGGGGGAAGGGTGGGCTATGGCTCCACGGGCGAAAGAGCGAAGACGGCCCCGGATGAATCGGGCGCAGAGAGTTTCTTTCTGGCTTCCCGGAAGAGGCGTCGTGTGGCTCGGTGTCCCTTTCCTCAGGAGTGGCCGCCCCTCCCCTCACTCCCCTCTCCCGTGTCCTCTGCAGGTTGGCCCTGTCCAGCCTCAACAAGCTCTCGGAGGCCGTCTTCTACTACCGGAAGGCGCTGGAGCTGGACCCAGAGAACGAGACCTACAAGTCCAACCTGAAAGTCACCGAGCAGAAGATGAAGGAGGCCCCGAGCCCGGTGAGTGGCCGGTTGGCTGGCTGGCTGGCTGGAGAAGACCCTGGGGGAGCAGGGAGGCCCAGCCTCTCTGCCCTCAGGCGCCTGGCGGGGGCTGTGCTGACGCCACTTTCCCACGTTTCCCCACAGACGGGGGGCGCCGGAGGGTTTGACCTGGCTGGGTTGCTCAACAACCCCGGCTTCATGAGCATGGTGAGTGCGGGGCCGGAGGGGCTCTGCTTTGCTGGGGGAGGGGTGTCCATGCGTGCGCTTGTTGGTCTGCGAGGGTCAGTCCACCGGCCTCTCTGTGACACTGGTTGTCTCCAAGGGCCCCTTCCCCCAGGCGCTTCTTGCCTTGGCAGAGGGTTATGGGAAGGGCAGTTCCCCTCATCTCGGGGGGGGGGGGCAGCCTAGAAAGGCCGGCCAGGCTCCTGGGCTGACCGGCTGGTTCAGCTTCGCCCAGCCAGCCACATCCTTTCTCTCCCTCCACAGGCCTCCAACCTGATGAACAACCCACAGGTGCAGCAGCTGTGAGTGTGCAGGGGGATGGTGGGCCTTCCCGCCCTTCCGGAAGGATCTGCTCTGGGGAGGGGCGGTCTGAGGGCTGCGGTTGAACAGGCGGCCCCAAAGGCTCGGGCGGAGCTGGGGAAAGAGGCCCTGGCTGAAATCCACAAGGACACCTTTTAATGTAGTGCTTTCTCTGTAAAGGAAATGTTTCCTTAAAAAGCCTGGAATCTTGGTTAAGTTGGGGTGTGATTTTGGTTTAGTGTGTCCTATGGACCCCTTTGCTCTGCTGTGCCAACCTTGGTTTCCTGGCAGGCCAGCCAAAACCGAGCTTTCATTAAAATGGCAGCTTTCACTGAAGAAGGAGCACTCCCCAAAATGGAGAGGCCAGGAGCCAATAACTGCGGCCTTGGCAGGGTGGGAGGGAGGGGAGGGTCCGCCCCAGGTGTCCGTGGGGTGGGAGGTAGCCGTTCCTGGGTGAGATTTGGCTTGAGCACTCCAGCCTGGGGCTTCCGGTTGGGAGATGGGTGGGTTCTTGGGAATCTTCTGGTAAAATTGTGTCCCCCCCCCCAGCTTTCCCAGAGGCCCTGTGGCAGATGAAAGCACTTCCCACTCCGGGGTGGGATTGTTTAGCGACCCTTCAGAGCCGTGGCTGGGGCCTTGCTGGGGCGCCTCTCCCTGCCCATGTGACCCGCATGGAGGGTCACGCATCCCCCCTCCCCTTTGCAGGATGTCCGGGATGATCTCCAGCAGCCAGAGCCCCGTGGCCGCCCCAGGAGCCAGCACGGCCCCCCACGATCTCGCCAGTCTCATCCAAGCGTGAGTAGACGGGGCGCTCCCTTCCCCCCAATCCCCCCGTCCACGATCTCGCCAGTCTCATCCAAGCGTGAGTAGACGGGGCGCTCCCTTCCCCCCAATCCCCCCCCCCCGTCTGTTCCTTCAGACGCAGGAAAGCAGCAGCCGGCTCGGCCCCCCCTTGTGACCCCTCCTCACCAAGCCCCGTGGGGGATTTCCCCACAAGCCACTCCTGGCCTGCTGGTCAGTACGGGTCATCCTTTCGAAATGACCCCTCGGCCCATTCCTCTCCTAGCTGGTGTCCTAAAAAGTGGGGGGAGGGGCACAGCAGAGCCCTCCCTCCCTGGCAAGTCCTGAAGAAGCTGGGAAAGCCTCCCGGCCCTCCGGTGGGACACGGGTCCTCTTGTCCTTCGGCTCCGACTCTCATGGGCCTCTCGCCCTTCCCGCAAGCGCAGTCCACATCCAGCTTTCCGGGAGGGGCGGATCTTCTGTTATGCCCCCCCTTCCACACACACACACACACACACACACACGGTCTTTTGATCCCAAAGCTGAACAGCTCTTCTGCTGCTCCTCATAGGACTTCGTTTCCCGTCCCTGGGTCTCGGTTCTTGCCCTTTGCTGAGCCAGCCTCTTGTTGGCTTGACTCCTGAACGCGGCCCGATTCTTGAGGTGGGGTCCGAGCAAGGACCGGTAGAGCAGAACGGTGGCTTCCTGCTATGATGACTTAGCACAGGGGAGGCAACTATGCTGGCTCAGGAATTCTGGGAATTGAAGTCCACGAGTCGTAAAAGAGCCAAGGTTGCCTACCCCTGACTTAGCAGTTATACTCCCACCGCAGCTGCGGCCGGACACCCTGCTTGCCTCATTTACGGCCACGTTGCTCTGCTGGCTCCTGCGCCATTTGTGACTGGAGTAGCTCCCTCTGTCAGAGCCCCCCCCCCAGGCCTCCGAGGCCTCCTGTGCACCCGATCCGTCTCTTAGGCGGAGGCTCTCCCCTTCTCCCCGATCAGTTTCTTTCTCTACCTTTTGCCCGATTTATCTTGTCTCTCGAGGTAGCTTTGCGTTTCATTCCTGCCTTCTGCAGCTGCCCACCGTTTGTGTGTCATCAGCAGATCTATGAAGGACTGGATTTTGTTACTCCTCCTGCCTCCTGCTTGAAGGGAAGAGGAGCGATTGCAAAGTAGCTTCTGAGTAGCTTTTGAGCCGCCTCTGTATCCACCTGGTCACTGTGCTGTCCAGTAGGACTGTCCCCTGGATCACACCCACAATCGATGGTTAACCTGACCGTTTTCTCTCCTGTGGCGGTCCAGGGGCCAGCAGTTCGCTCAGCAGATGCAGCAGCAGAATCCGGAGCTGATAGAGCAGCTGCGCAGCCAGATCCGGAGCCGGACGCCCAGCGCCAGCAACGAAGAGCAGCAGGAATGAGGCAGCTGCCGGTGAGCTGGGGGGGGCATCTGTGTCTCTCTGCCAGGGACCGTCTGGATGACCTTGAGAAAAGGAAGCTTGGCAAACTCAGGAAGGACTCACGCTAATTGATCCCAAGTGGTTAAAAGGTCCAGCAAGAGATTTTACACTTGCTAGATTCAGGTCAGGAACTCCCCACCCCCACCCCCCCGGGTACATCAGACAGGAATCACGACTAGCTGAATCTGCTTGACTTGTGGGCTGCGTTAACAAAATCCTGCGTGTCTGAAGGCACAAACGTCTCCCTGCATCTTTTGACTGCACGACCCACTAGGGCTCGTCTCTCCTGCGTTTCTTCTGACTGATGCTAGATTTTGGGCACTCCTGCTTCTTTTATCAGCTGATTTCTTCCTAGGCAGCATCTCTCCCCCCACCCCCAATATCTAAGGTCATTCCCACGTTATACTTGCTTCCCCCCCCCGTGGCATTTTGTGGGTGATTTGCAGAAGACCCAAAGGGCGGGGGGGGGAGCGCAGGGATCCAGAGAGGGCCAGCAGCTACAGTGCATCCCTCACGGAAGAACTCTGGGGAGAGACCCCCAGTCTGCCCCATGGAGTTGAAGACCGTCCGGAGTGGAGAGGCTGGCAGGAAGGCCCTGATCAGAGGCTCCATAGCTGCAGTGGCCGGTGGTCTTCCTGGGCCCGTTTGCAGAGCTCCTGGCAAGTGAATGGAGGCCAGGAGCAGGGGGGCTGCTAAAGGCCCCGTTGCCAGACTCAGTGCAGGAAGGCAAAGGGAAGCCTCCTTGGCGCATGGCAGTCTGTCCGAGATGGCGGAGCCCACCCTTGTCCTCGGGAGAAGCACCAAGGCAGGGAAGCCATCCGCTCCTGCCCGGGATGTGCTTATGTTCATCTCCTTCTTTCAGGACTCTGCTCCTGGCCAGGAAGACCCCCTTTGCCCCAGGGAAGGACCAGCTGAAGAGCCTCCGAGCTGCTGCTGCTGCCAGCCATTCCTCCCTTGGAAAAGCCCACAAGGAACGGGGCGGGGGGGGGCACCGAGCCTGATCCGATCTGCATGTTAGAGACTGTTTTGCATAGCCTCCCTGCCTGCTTCCTCCCCGCCTCGCCCCTGCGTGGACTTTGCCAGGGGGAGCGGAGAGTTACTGACTGCAGACCAGCATCTCCCGCCATCCCGGACCCTCGAAGGCAAGCTGTGGGCAAGCACTGGGGCCGTCAATGCCACGCCTTTCCTGTTGCTCAGAAGAACACACACATCCCGAGACTGTGCCATCCTCCAGCAGGGAGAGTCTTCTTTTCCAAACTGGGATTTCCTTCTCGTCAGCATTGCTGGATCCTGGCACTCCGAGGCTGGATGGCCCCCGTCTTGGGGAGAGGCCCAGTTGACTGGCTGGGAGGGGCAACTGGTGGAACTGGCACCGGTGCCTGGGGAAGATGGGAGGACGTCTCCGTGCTTTTCAGTAGGACGTTTTTAAGGATCGTGGCTAGTCTGGTGTGAGTTTTCTGGGGGCGGGGGGGACGACAACGTGGCTTTCTTTCTTTCTTTCTTTCTTTCTTTCTTTCTTTCTTTCTTTCTTTCTTTCTTTCTTTCTTTCTTTCTTTCTTTTTCTTTCTTTGGGTCGGGGTCTGGGGAACTTGCCTGGCTGGACTGGCTAATGGCACTCTCTGCCCAGCATGAAGGGTGGCAGGGGGACTCGGCTGCCTACCCGGGACTGGGCCAAACCAGGCAGCTCCTTCCTCAAGTCTCTCCTTTTGGCCGGGGGTCCCCTCGGCCTCTGGTGTCCAGAGCGTGGCTCTCGCCCCTTGAGGTGCCACCCGGAGGGTTAGTTGAACCTGTTGAATCTCCCGGATCCTCTCCAGCCAGTAGGATGGACCGGATGGCAGCCCAAGGACCTTGGGGGAGGAGGGTCACCTGCCAGAAGCCCCCTGGAGACTGGCCTCCCCTGCGTTAGCCAGGGAGGGGGCCCCTTTCCTGGCTGGCCAGGGCACTGGAGAGAAGAGCAAAGTGGTCAGCCTGGGTCTGCCTGCCTCAAGGGCTGAACCTTGCAGGGTGCCTCTGTCTGATTTCTCATCCTGGCCCTTGCCAGGGGCAGCTGGGCAAAAGCCATCTTGGGGGGTGGGGTGGGGGTTGCAGATGCAGATTTTAGGGCAGCAAAGCAGGTAGAGGGGTGGGGTGGAGTCCTATCCATGGCCCCTTCCGGCATGGTGGGTGGGTGCCAGGAGGGGGGAGCTGCCAGGCTAGAATGGTAAGTAATTTGGGGGGGGGACGCTGGGGTGCTTCCAGTAAGCAAGGGTGGGGCTGAGGAATCACCATCTTGTCTCCAACAGTGGCTTTTCTTTGATGTAGGAAATAAACTTATTTGGACACTGGCTGGCTGGTGCCTGGAGGGGAAAAGGGGAGGGCGGGTGGGGCAGGGAGGCCTTCGAAGGAGAGGGCGGGCGTCTCTGCCTGAAAACGGGGGGGGGGCGGAATGGGAGCGGCCCTCGGCGCCCTTCCACGGCGGACGGGCGGTGTGTTGGGGGGGGGGGCGCTTCGTGTCACGTTTTCGGCTTGGCGACCGGAGGGCTCCAACTGGGGCCGGAGGAGCGTTTTCCGCAGGGGGGGCAGTGCGGTCGGTCAGCCGGATCCTCCGTTGCCCGGAGAAGCGATCGCTGAGCGACGGGGACCGGCCAGCCTTCCCTCCCACGCGCACAGCAGGCTCGGCGGCGCCCCGGAACCTCCGCGCGGGGCCTCGTTCCGCCCGGGAGCCTCTTCCGGCGCGCACCGGGGGCGGAGCCTCCTCTCCGGCCAGCGTCACCGGGCAGGGGAGTCGCCGGGAGCGGAAGGCGCGCGCTGGGCCGGGCGGGGGCGTCCCGGGACCCCCTCCCCTTCGGCAGAGCCTCCTCGGGGGGGCTCGCCCCTCCCTCTCCCCTCTTTCCCCCGGGCGGGCGGGGCGGCCATGGAGGCGGCGGCGGCGAAGGCGCTGTGCCTGGTGGGGACGCTGGCGCTGATGCTGGCGGGCGCCCTGTTGCCGGTGAAGGTGCTGGAGGGGGACCCCGAGCGAGCGCAGCGCTCCCGGCGGACCCTCGGCCTCTGCAACGCCCTGGGCGGCGGCGTCTTCCTGGCCACCTGCTTCAACGCGCTGCTCCCCGCCGTGCGCGAGAAGGTAGGCGAGGGGGGAGGGACGGGGGTCATCTGGCCCACCCCGCTCGGCCTTTCCCCTCCCCCCCAACCGGCAGGGAAGGGAGGCGGGGGCGTCTCGGCTGGCCCTCCCTCCTTCCGGTGCGGTGCAGCATCGACGGGCGGTTGGAGGCTGCGGCGGCTTCTCGGGCTTCTCTCCGGTCGCCTTTGCCGGGCTTGGCCCGCGTGTGGCCCAGCTGGCCAGGATCGCCTGGCGCCTCCCTATCACCGTCCCCGGGGGCGCTTCCCCTCCCGGGACGGCCTGGCTCGGGCCCCCTCTTGGCCCCCGCCGCGAGCCTGGGCGCATTGGGCTCCTCGCCCCCCCCACCCTTCGCGGGCTTCCCTCCCCCCCGCGCTCCCCCTTCGGCTCCTTCGTACTTGGGAGACGCCCCCCCCGACCCCTCCCCTCCCGTCCGTGGCGCTTCGTGCCCTGCTGTCTCCGCTCGCATCGCCTCGGCGCCTGTTTTGGGAAACTTCCCAGGCTCCCTTAAAAGGGTTTCTGGCTCCGGGGATCACCAGGAGATCCCTTTTCTCCGCTTGTGCAAATGGGCTCTCCCGGGACGACCCGCTTTGCGTCTCCTTCTGCCTGGTCCTGATCCCCGGGGTCACCTCTCCCCTCCGTGCCTTCAACGGCCTGGCCCGGTCTCTAGGGTCAGAGCCAGGAGACCCCCGCTCGCTTCGCCGCCTCTTCTGGTAACGGTCATAGGGCCTGGGGGGGGGGACTTGGAGGGTCTCTGCCGCCCCAGCTGAGTAGCTTTTCCACCTGGTGCCCCCCCCTCCGCTTCTCCCCTCCATTGTGTTGGCCCTTGGGGGCCTGCAACCCAGCTCCCCCCCCCGCAGAGCTTCCCCCTTCAACCAGGACATCCCAGCAGGTTAAGACCAGACCCAGGGGGACAGAGCCCTTCAGCCTTGTAGAGAATGAATTGGGGCCCCTGAGAAATTCAGGGAACTGTTATGAGTGATCACACCCATCTTCCTCCCCTTTCAGTTCTTTGTGTTCAAAGTTGTTTCTGAGAAGTCCTTGGCCTCCGCCCCCCCCTCCTCCTCAAGGTTTCTGCAGAGCCCAAAATGTGGAGAGGGAGGGGTCAGGAGCAGTTCTGAATGCAGGAACCCCCCCACACCCCTTCCCCCCCAAGAGGGCTGTGGAGGTCTCGGCAGGCAAACAGAGTTCAGATCCTCGGCTCCTTCTGTCTTGCAGCTCCAGGAGGTTTTGAAACTTGGGAACGTGACCACAGACTACCCTCTGGCCGAGACCATCATGATGGTGGGCTTCTTCATGACCGTGTTTGTGGAGCAGGTGGTCTTGACCTTCCGGAAGGAGAAGCCGTCCTTCATTGACCTGGAGACCTTCAACGCCGGCTCGGACGTGGGCAGTGACTCCGAGTACGAGAGCCCCTTCATCGAGCCTTCCTGGGGCCACGGCCACCGGCCCGACCACCGCGGCCGCCACAGCCACGGGCTGGCCGTCTGCGAGCTCTCGCGCTCCAGCCCCCTGCGGCTCTTCAGCCTGGTCTTTGCCTTGTCCGCCCACTCCGTTTTCGAAGGGCTGGCCCTGGGCCTGCAGGAGGAGGGCGACAGGGTCCTGAGCCTCTTCCTGGGCGTGGCCATCCACGAGACGCTTGTGGCCGTGGCCCTGGGGGTCAACATGGCCAAAGCTGGGCTGAGGATCAAGGAGGCGTCCAAGCTGGCTGCCGCCGTCAGCCTGATGATCCCCCTGGGCATCGGCATTGGCATGGGCATCGAGAGCGCCCAAAACGTGGCCAGCAGCGTGGCCTCGGTGATCCTGCAGGGGATGGCCGGGGGCACCTTCCTTTTCGTCACCTTCTTTGAGATCCTGGCCAAGGAGCTGGAGGACAAGAGCGACCGGCTGCTCAAAGTGCTCTTCCTGGTCCTGGGTTACGCGGTCCTGGCAGGGCTGGTGTTCTTCAAGTGGTGAGGGGCTTCCGTTCTGTTGGGGATGGGTCAGGACCCTCCCACGCAGGGCAGGAGGAGAGCCGGACGGCGGTGGCACCCAGAGGCCCTCTGCCCCGAGGGCTGGGCTCTTCCCCAGCCACTTCCTCACACCATCCATGGGCGGGAGGGGGGACGAGGGGGGGCTGGGACAGTTGGGAAGGCGGTGTCCTTTTCAGCCAGGCTAGCCCCCAGGAGACGGAAGACAAGCGGGCACTGCACCTGGCGGACCCACCTTGCCCTCAGGCGCAAGCAGTGGATTGGGGGGAGGCTCCCAGGCTCTGCCCTGTAACTGAAGGATAGGTCAGGTCTCCTGCCCCCACCCCACGTCTCTCCTCTTCTCTCGGGGGAGCCTCTGTCTTGACTGTCCTTTTGGGAGCCTAGGCGCTGCCGGTTCTTTCCTGAAAGTTGCTCTCCTCCCACCAGGAGGTTATTTTACGCCTGGAGATGTCCAGGCTTCGGCCACCTGCTGGGGGTTTTCTTGTGTTTTTGGTCTGGACCAGCCCTGGGAATCCAGAGAGGGGCTGTGCGTCTTGCCGCCCCCCCAGGCCAGGTGTCCAAGCAGAGGCCCTGCCCTTCGGCACCGGCTGCTTCTTGGCTGAACCGCGACGGTCTCGGGTCTTCCAAGGGGGCCCTCAGCTCCGGAACGGCTGTCTGCTAATCCACTCCAGGACTCTTTTCTTTTATGCCCCTTGAAGTTCCTCCTCTGACGCTTGGGTGAATGTGAGATTGAGAGAGTCTTCTCCACTGGGCCGGATCCGAGCAACGTGCTTGAGAAGCAAAGATTTCCAGGTGCATCCGGGCAGCTTTGCGGTCTTCGGGATGTGGCAGGGCTGAAATACCTGCCGGCAGAGTGGTTGCTCCCCGCCCCAGGCCCATCGGCAGCAGAGCCCTCAAGAACCGCCTGCCTCGATGGGTCCATCTCCTCCGCGGGCAGACAGCCAAGGCCAGGCGGGTCCCCTCAGGGTGGCAGCTTCTGCTGGCAGAAAGTTGGCCCTGCTGCCTTCTCTGTCAAGCAAGGCAAGGCAGAACGGGTGCCTGGCCTGCCTCTCCTGCTTCCCCAGCGAAGAGGCACTCCTGACGCCTGCGGGGGCTTCAGCTCAGGGACCTCCTGTCCTGCCCCACCCCAGCCACTGTCACCCCAAGGACGGGCCTCCCTCCCCCCCTCGGGCTCCAGAGAGCGGGTCCCATCCTGATCAAGGCAGAGTTGGGCCTTCTGCCCGGCAGACGGAGGGTCCCTGCACCAGGAGGTTGTATGAGCGTGGGGGGAGGGGGCGATGGAGGACCACCCATCACTCTCCTGCCGATCGTTTGGCTGAGAGGAGGCAGTGGGGGGGGAGGCAGCTGGGACCCAAAATAGCACTGCTGGCCGGCTGGGAACAAGCGGGCATCTTCCTCCCCAATTGTGGCATCAGCCTGGCTGCCGGCAAGGCTTCCTAGGAGAAGCGGTCTGCTTGTGGGCTTGTGTGCGCGCACGCATTATTTATTGCATTCCTGCTCTGGGACAGGATCAGACCCATCTCGGTGGGTTGTTTTGTTACCCTTACGTTAACCTCCCTTGTGCTAAGATAGCCAGCCTTTGCGGGCTGAAATAAACCTCCTTTATTGCCCCTTTTGTGACTCCGTCTATTTGTAGGCAAACCGAGCCACTCGGAGGCAGTGCCCTCCATTCTGTGGGCAAAATGCCATCCAGAGCCTCACCAGCTTCTCGCCTGGGCAGGAAGTGGCGATCGATTGTGAGGGACGGGCAGAGAGAAGCACAGCTTCTTGGAAGAGGCTGCTCTCTCCTGCCTTGTCCCTCACGCTTAAGATGGAGGTCCCACTTCCTGGACGGAGCTGTGGGCTAGCCCTGCCCAGCCTTATGGGGCCTCGGTTCCTGGCCTGGCATTGCCACCCTTTGCAGCTTTGCTCTCTGGGGAGCTGCTTCCTGTGTCCCCCGCCCTCGCCTCTTGCCCCTCTGTCTGCTGCTGGCCCTTTCGAATGGCCTCGTCCAAGCTTCGGAGCCTCTTCCTGGGCTGTGTGATGAAGCGTTGGGAGAGGATTCAGCCCTCTCCCCCTGGCCACTGGCAAGGCTTGGGGTGACGGGGCATTTTGCAGGCAAGAGCCTGGCTGACCTCTCCTCCTTGAAGAGGCCCCGAGGAGTGTGGGGCACTGGTGGAGTTTCCTTGCAGAGGTCCCCCACGTTCCTTCCCTTCCTCTGCCTTAGCTGGGCTGGCCTGATCCGAGTCTCTTCCTGTCTCTGCCAGAGGCCGCCCTGCCCTGGAGCCTTGTGTGGGTCCAAGGGAGCCTCACTAGGGGAGCCTGCAGGAAAAGGGGCCTCAGACAATCCGGGGGGGGGAGTGCAAGCAAGGGGCCCCAGGAGACCCCTGCAAGGGAGAAAGCCAAGTGCCCTCTGGACCGGGCTTCGCACTGGCATCCCAGTTATGGCAGCACCTCCCCATTCGAGGCTGCACCTTGATCTGGGGGTTGCTGGTGGCAGCTGCGGCCAGCGAGGTCTTTGCACAGCTCCAATATATGTGCCAGCTGTGCCGCTTTCTGGGTCGGGGCCCTCCGCACAATCTGACAATAGTCAACTCGCAACTCGACTACTGCAGGGTGCTGTATTTGGGGCTGCCTTGAAGACCACTTGAAAGCTGTAGCAGGTCCGGAATGTGTGGTGCAGGTGGAAATGGGCTCCGGCTGTGACATGCTCAGGAACTGGACCGGTTGCCCTTTGGCCTCTGGGCACAGTTTAAGGTACTGCAGGGAGGAGGGGGTGGAAGGGCACTTCAGTTCTGTGGGCAGGCTTTTGTTCCATCTGAGATGGAGGCAGAAGTGGGTCCTATTAACCAGCCCAGTGGTGGCGAGCCTATGGCACGGGTGCCAGAGCTGGCACTCAGAGCCCTCTCTGTGGGCACACGCGCCATCGCCCCAGTCCTAGGCCTTCAGCTGGGTTTTATTTATTTATTTATGAGACTTATATACCGCTTTAAGTGCAAGCACTCTCTAAGCGGTGTACACCAGTAAGCAATGTATATATATATATATATATTTACATTGCCCCCAACAATCTGGGTCCTCATTTGACCTACCCCGGAAGGATGGAAGGCTGAGTCAACCTTGAGCCGGTGAGATTTGAACCGCTGACCTGCTGAACACAGTCAGCTAAAGTGGCCTGCAGTACTGCACTCTAACTGCTGCGCCACCTTTTCATTTTAGGCCTCCGCTGCCATGTGCAAAAAAAAAAAAAGGTTCAATCAGTCAATTTCAACTTCTGGGAAATGCCCACCCAATGGGCCGCACTCCCCCCAATTGGCCACACCCAGCCAGCACCTGACAATGCATGTGGGTTTGGGGTTGCAGTTTGGGCACTCGGTCTCTAAAAGGTTCGCCATCACTGAACCAGCCCTTTCACCTGGGCTCCTGTTGCCCAGTTTCTCTCCTTCAGCAGTAGGTGAGAGCTGAAGCGAGGCAGCTGGGGCGGGGGTGGGTTGTCGCTACCACTGCCACCGAAGCACAAGGGAGCCGCCCCCCCCCCCAGTTCCTGACAATGCAGCCCTCTTCCCAGTCCCTCCTGCTGCCCCCTGTGCTGGGGCTGGTCAGCAGGCAGCCTGCCTGCCCTGGACCCATCACCCTGCCAGGGTGCCTCCTTATGGCTCCTGTCTGTTCTTAAAAGGGTTCCATAATGGAGCTGTCTGCCCGGCTCTGCTCCTGGGGGGGGGGGGGAGGAATTATTCTCCAGGTTCTGCTCTCCAGGGGCAACTGGGAGAAGCCAGGATCCCCTCCAAGCACAAGATAGTGGATCTCATCCGCAGGTGGGTGGTGGAGCTGCAGGCAAGTCAGTGGGGGGGGAGGCATAAAGTGGGCAACGGAAGGAAGACTTCTGCACTGAGACGCCCCCCCCCCTCTGGCCATCAGTCAAAGAGACAAGGGGGGCAGGGGTGAGAAGAGGAGGAGGGTCAAGATCTGTGCCCACCCTGTGAAGGAAGTGGGTCTCTCTGCTAACTGGGTTGGGGGTGAAAGCAAACATGGAGACATTGGCGTCAAATCTTCTTTCCAGCTCTCCTGGCATCCAGCTTTGCCTGCCCCAGAAGCCCCCTTCCCCCCCCCTGGGAAGAGCCTGCCTGGGTAGAGGCCACTTCCAAGAGGGGAGACTTTTTTATATTGTGGTAGCCAAAACTGGACGCAATAAGTGTGACCTTACCTTACTGCAATAAAGCAGTGTTTCTCAACCTTGACCATTTTAAGGCATGTGGACTTCAACTCCCAGAATTCCACAGCCAGCAATGCTGGCTGTGGAATTCTGGGAGTTGAAGTCCACATGCCTTAAAATGGTCAAGGTTGAGAAACACTGCAATAAAGTGATACTAATACCTAATGTGATCTTGATTCTGTCCCTCTGTTAATGTACCCAAGGATTGAATTGGCTTTTTTGGCTGCTGCCACACACGGCTGGCTTGTATTTAAGGGTTTCCCCCTAGGCTCCAAGATCCCTCCCACAGTTACTACGATTGAGCCAGATACAACCTCTTCTATACCTGTACATTTGGTTTTTCTTGCCTAGGTGTTAAACCTTTTCTTACTATTGATTTCCATTTTTTTAAAATAGGGCCCATTGTTCAGGTCTGTTGAGATCCTTCTGGATCTTGAGCCTATCCTCCAGGGTGTTGGCTATTCCTGCCGGCTTGGTATCGTCTGCAAATGTGATGAGTTTCCCTTCTATTCCCTTATTTAATTGGTTTATGAAGATACTGAAGAGTTCTGGACCTGAAACGGAACCTTGTGGCACCCCCCCCCCCCACTTCCCTCCTTTGAGGACCACACGGATTGAGTGTGGTTGGTCAGCCAGCTACAGATCCATCTAGTGGTGATCCTGTCTACCATTTTGTTAGTTTGGCATGATCTGTTTTTGACAAACCCGTGTTGGCTTCTGGTTGCAACTTTGTTTGCTTCTAGACTAATCAATCTGTTGCTTGATTATCTTTTCCAGGATCTTCCCACGTATTGAGGTCAGGCTGATTGGTATGTAGTTTCCTGGGTCCATTTTTCCCCTTTTTTAAAGATGGGAATCACATCAGCTCTTTTCCAGTCCTCAGGTAGTTCCACCTCTGTAAGCAGACCTCTGGATGTAATCTCTCACGTCCCGGTGATTTGACTCATCTAGGGTGGACAGGTGTTCTCTTACTATTTACCTGCCTATTTTAATTTGCATTCCTATTCTGTCTTTTACGATTCTAGTTTTTGGTAGGTTAGGCTATTTTTTTCCTTTTGCACAAAGACAGATGCAAAGAATAGTGAAGTAGCTCTGGTCATCTCTTCCTTGCCATCTTCTCCCGTTAGTGAACCAATTATTTCCTTGACTTTTTTTCTTGTTTTTTACACATTGAAACTTATTATTTACATTTGTTGCAAGTTTTAGTTCATTCTCAACCTTACTTCGATAAACAAGGGGACCGCATGCACCCCCCCCCCCTTTCCAGTTCCACACCATCCCATTGTGTGACAGAACCATCCTGTTCTCTCCCAGGTGTCACTTCCCGATCACCTTGCAGATTCTTCAACAATCAGAATGGGTGGTCTGGCACACCCCAGATTTTAGAGATCGTTCAGTACTTGTGGGTCAACAGGAAGCTCCCCCTTTCCACCAGATGCCAGCAATGGGATCTCAGATGGCCTCTTCTGCAGGGTTTGGGCGCCTGGCGGATCTGCCCCGCAATACCCGGAGGGGGAGGCCTGGCACGTCGAGTAAGGCAGCGCTTGCCGGCTGGAGCTGCTCTCCGGTGTCTCTGCCCGGCAGTCTGGCGAAAAGGCAGGAGAAGAAGCTTCTCCGGGCTTCGGCGGGGGGAGGTCGCTGTCTCCCGGCCACCGTCTGCTCTCTTCCACCGGCCTTTCTGGCGGGCGCCTGGTTGCTGTCATGGGAAAGTCCCGGCCTTCTCGGGGCAACGCGGGGGGAGGGGCACGCAGGGCAGAGCATCGCCGCAGGGGGTCGCTGCCTTCCTCAAGGGCGGAGTGCCCGGCTGAGCGCCCGACTCTGGCCAGGCTAAGGCGGGAAGGCGCAGCTGGAGTCTTCAGTTGCTGGGTAAAACAGCCCAGGCCAGCGAGGCAGCCACTCCGGCGGTTGGGCGGTCCGGCCCTTTCTGCCCGGGGCTCTCTCTCCGCTGGCCCCGGGGGGGGGGGGCTTTCGGCAAGGGAGGCGCTTCTCCGGGGCTCAACCGCCGCTGCTCCAGACCTCGCCCAAGCCGGGAAGGAGCCCCGCCCGCGCCTCGCTCCCAACCGGCCGCCGCAGCGTGGAGCCGCAAGAGCCGGCGGCAGAGCCCCTCCGAGGAGCGGGGCGGGGGCGGCGGCAGAAGAAAGCGGGGCGCGGGCAGAGGGACCGCCGCGGACTCGCCGGCCGAGGGAGCGCTGCAGAAGCCGCGGCCGCGCCAGCAAGCGCCTCCCCGTTCTGCCGTGTGTCAGAGACGTTCACACGTGACGCGCACCCCTCCTGCCCTCCCCGACGCAGCAGCAGCAGCATCCCTGCCGCCGCCGCCGCCGCCACCGCCGCCGCGACCCTCTTCCCGCGCCCGCCCGGAGCGCGGTCCCCGGATGGCTGCTTGTCGTCCCGGTCGACTCCGCGGTCCCAGGGCAAGCTGAGCT